AGTCTATTTTGTCAGAGATTAATATTGCCACTCCTGCTCTTTTTTGATTGTTGTTTACTTGATATATTTTTTTCCATCCTTTGAGTTTTAGTTTGTTTGTGTCTTTGAGTCTAAGATGTGTCTCTGGTAGGCAGCATATAGACCGATTGTGTTTTTTTCATCCATTCTGCCACTCTGTCTCTTTATTGGTGCATTTAGTCCATTTATATTCAGTGTAACTATTGATAAGTATGCATTTAGTTCTGTCACTTTGATGTCCTTTTTTTTGTGTTGTTGACAGTTTCTTTGTCCCACTTAATTTTCTGGGCTAAGTCATTTTTCTTTATGTATTTTCTTTTCATCTTTTTCATTGTTGTTGATTTTGTATTTGCTGAGTCTTAATGTTTTTCTTGGTTTTTATTTTGATGTGTAGGATTGTTAGTTTCCTTTGTGGTTCTTAATATTTACCTCTATTTTTCTAAGTTTAAATCAAGCTTTTATGTCTTTATATCACCTTGACTTCCTCTCCATATGAAAGATCTATGACTACATTTTTTAGTCTGTCTTTTTTGTTTTAATGTTGTCATCTTTTACATATTGACATCTCTGATTCCCTATTTTCAGCATTTTAGCTTTGATTTATTTTTGTGACTTCCCTATCTGGGTTGATATCTGGTTGCTCTGTGTTCCAGTCTTGGGTTGTTATCTGATGTTATTGATTTTCTAACTGGAAGGGTCCCTTTAGTATTTCTTGTAATTTTGGTTTGGTTTTTGCAAATTCCCTAAACTTCTGTTTATCTGGAAATGCCCTAAGTTTACCATCATATTTGAGAGACAGTTTTCCTGGGCATAGAATTCTTGGCTGGCAATTTTTTTCCTTTAAGGCTTTCTATATGTTATCCCATTGCCTTCTTGCCTGCATGGTTTTTGCTTAGTAGTCCGAGCTTAGTCTTATTGACTCTCCTTTGTAGATGACTTTTTATCCTTAGCTACTCTTAAAATTCTCTATCTTTCGTTTTGGCAAGTTTGATTATAATATGTCTTGGTGACTTTCTTTTGGGATCTACCTTGTGTGCGGTTTGATGAGCATCTTGGATAGATATCTTCTCCTCTTTCACAGTATCAGGGAAGTTTTCTGTCAACACATCTTCAACAATTCTCTCTGTATTTTCTTCTATCCCCCCTGTTCTGGTACTCCCATTACTCGTAGGTTATTCCTCTTTATAAAAGAGTCCCACATAATTCTTAGGGTTTCTTCATTTTTTAAAATTCTTTTATCTGATTTTTCCTCAAATAAGTTGGTGTCAAGTGCTTTATCTTCAATTTCACTAATTCTGACTTTGATTGCCTCAATTCTGCTCCTATGACTTTCTGTTGTCTAATTCTGAAAATTTTACTGTTAATCTTCTGGATTTCCGTTTGCTGTCTATCTAAGGATTCTTGCAGCCCATTAAGTTTATCATTGTGCTCTTCTATAATCTTCTTAAGTTCCTCTATTTCTTTGTCTGTGTGTTCCTTGGATTGTTCTGTGTTTTGCCTGCTCCCCTTCCTGATATCTTGAAGAGTTCTGTATATTAATCTTTTGTATTCTTCCTCTGATAATTCTAAGAAGTTCTCTTACGCTGGAAAATTTCTTGATTCCTTGTTTTGGGAGCTTGCTGAAGCCATCACGATCTGCCTCTTTATGTGATTTGACATTGACACTTGTCTCCAAGCCATTGATAAGTTATTATATTTTTAAATTTTGTTTGCTTACTGTATCCTAGCTTCTTGTTTTGTTTTGATATGCCCAAACAGGCTGCTGGCGTGAGCTAGTTTGATTACTGTTGCTTTTGAAGCTCTAACGTCCTGTCACCAGGTGGTTAGATCTGTTACTAGTTATGTGAGACCAGGAGTCCGTTTACTTTTCTCGTATGGATTCAGCTCAGGTGTCCAGATAGTTGGTCACCAAGTGTGTGGTGCCAGCTCTCACCTACAGTCCTAGATGGGCAAGGGTGATTGGTCTGGCTGCAGTAGGGGGTCACACACTGAGCAATGCAGGGGGATGACAGCTCCCCCTGAGTGTCTGGGAGGAAAGAGTGTCCCTGTTCCTGAGTGCATAGGTGGGGGGGGTGGTTTGCAGCCAGACTATGGGCACCCAGTGCTGATGGCTGTAAGGACTGGTAGGCACCATTTATTCTTGGATCCCTGTCACAGGTGGCTAAGTGGTGTGGGTAGAGCCTCCAGTCCTCAGGCCCCTAATGTGGGTAGGTGAGGACGCTGCTTCATGGGCAGAGTGGTATCAAATGTCACGAACCTACCATTCCACCATATAGCTGATACAGTGAAGTTAGGCTTCAGGTATATACCCTGGTGTACTGTGCTAATGAGGGCTACGCTGTTGAAATGGGCCCACAGAGGTCTATGCAGGGGTGAAAGGTATTCAAAGTCCGTGGACCCCTTACGCCTGTGCCTAGGCAAAAGAGCTGTGCCTAGCCTTAGTTCCTGGCTTAGGGGAGCTGGCAGATTATTTTTTCCTGTTTGTTAATCTGTTCCCTCTCCAAGTCTGGGAGACTGGCTCAGGGCGCAAGATGGGTCCTACTTTCGGCCCAGGGGATGCAGCAATTGCTGAAGCCAGCCCAGGACTGGTGCAGAGTGGGGAAAGAGCGGGTAAATGGGAGGCAGTTTCTTCCCAAACGGGGTATTTTTGATCCGCAGCGTAGGTTAAATGCATGTACTTATGTTTTGCTGATTGAGCACTGCTTTTCAATGGCTCTGGAGGCATGAGCAGACTCTGCTGCTCAGTCTCTGCCGACATGGAAAATGCATCCCAAATCCCACTGCCTGCCTCAGTTCGCATGCCAGCCGATCCAGCCTGCAGGGCGCCGGCTCCTGCAGGGTCAGGTCTGGCAACTCCTCACTGCTTCTGAACTGTCTCTCCCTCCCCCTGCCACTCAGTCTGATTCCTCAACTTTGCCTTTGATGTTCAGGGCTCCTAGATTGTCATATATAATCGATTCACTTGTTTTTTCGGGTCTTTGTTATAAGAGGGACCACTGGAAATGTCTGACTACTCTGCCATCTTGGCCCTACCTTGCTATATATATTTTTCAATGGAATGGTCCCTTGGAAGAGCTTTTGGAAGGAAGCTAACTTTTAAAATTGTTCTAAGTTTTTCTCTCCGACCTGATTGTCAGCTCCCTGAGGACAGTGTGATGGATGAATTGCAACCCCTAAAATATGTGTTGGAATCCTAATCCCTGTACCTGTGGATGTGAGCCCATTTGGAAAGCTGGGTTTCTTTGTTATGTTAATGTGGCTATACCAGTGTAGAGTGTGTCCTAAACTGAATCACTTTTGAGTTATAGAAAAGGCAGATTAGACACAGAGGCATGCACATGGGGGAAGACAGATATCATATGAGGATCATCTACGAGGCTAGGAACCAAGCAAGGCCCAGGGGCTACTGACAAAGAAGGGATCAACCCAGTTGAGACCCTGATGTGGACTTCTGGCCTCCAGAACTTTGAGAAAATAAGTTTCTATTCTTTAAAGCCACCCACTTGTGGTGTTTCTGTTACAGCAGACTGAGATAAGTAAGACAGCATCCTAACAATCTTGGTGCTGGGCCCAGTGCTACGCCTGTGCTTTGCTCACTAAGGATGAGCCAGATGTCCAGCAGGGCCCCCTGCCCTGGAGCCCTTACTCACTGTGTTGAAGTACTCGACGCCAGTGGCTTCAAATGCCCTTGCCACAGCCTGGGTTGTGGCCACACAGGCAAGAGGGTGGCCATTGCCAATGGGCTTGCCCATGGTGACAATGTCGGGGACAAAGTCCTCTCCCTGCAGCTGGAAGGCCCAGAAGTGCTTGCCCACACGACCAAAGCCAACTTGAATCTCATCGGCGACAAAGACCCCTCCGGCCCTGTGGACGTGCCTGTAGCAGAGGAGAGAGAGCTGATGGGGATTGCAGGGTGTGAGATCTTGAGGCTCTGAATCCTGGCTTTGTCACCAGTAAGGTGGAAGTCTTGGGCTAATGGCTGGCCTCTGGTTCCTCAGGGTTTTTTTTTTCAAAATTCTGGCAAACAGGCCAGGCTGAGGTTGGGGTTCAGGAAAAGGGTTGGGAAATCCCATTAGTATCCTTCCCCCCATCACCATCATGGGGGCAGCCCCCTGCCACCTACTCACTCAGCCACTCTTGGGAAGTAGCCTTCAGGGGGAATGATCTGCCCTCCCACGCTGGGCAGAGACTCCATGAAGAACGCTGCAATCTGTGGACAGGAGGGGGTGTCAGGAATGACCTGGCTGAGTGGAGTGGCCAGCTCAGCGTGTCCTGCTGACATGGCTCAGTGCTGGCTGCAAGAGGACCAGGGAAGCCACTTATGAGCTTGACTGTGGGCTCCACAACAAAAGGAGAGGTTGTGATGCTGTTTTCTTTCAGCTTCAAACCAACTCTTACCACTGGGATGCCCCCAGGCCTCCTGTGTGCCCCACACTAAAGGCACTGATTATCCTCATAAGACTGCTCTTTCCTTCTATCCCTTATCTGGTGACCAGCACTACTCCTGTCCCACCCCCAGGACAGAAATCGTTGATCCTCCCCCCAATCCAATTAGGCAACACACCCCACTGGCTCTCCCTCTGTGACTTCTCTGGAGTCCACTCCTTCCCTCCATCTGTAAGCTCTGGCCTCCTGGCAGACCTGCCTGTTTCCGCCCCTGGACTCTGGCAACTGTCTCCTAACTGTTTTCCTCTTCCAGCCCCCTCCTCTGCACGCCACCAGAGAATGTGTCAACCCTGAGGTCTGAGCTCGGTGCTCTCCTGTGGATGCTGCCCTGCACAGATCCCTTCATGACCCTCTGCTGCTTAAGCAATGACTTTTGATCTGTGCTCTGCCTTAGAGGGGATTCAAGGCCACTGCAGGGATGAAGGATGGGTTGATGGGATGGGAAGCCCGTCTCCCTCCTGTTGGGACCAGAGTAATTCTCTTTTCACATTTTATATAATTGGGTGAAGAGCATCTAAACACAGAGGCCTGCATGACCTAGTCCAAGTGGCCCTGTTTTGGTCCCTGCAACCTCCAGGCCACACAGTTGCTTTCCTCTGCCCTGTAGCCTGTGCTCAGCTCATCACTCCTCCAGAGGAGCCTTCCTCATTCTGGAGAACCTCACCTTGTCTCTAACGGCCTCCTGCCTGCTCTCACGTGGCCATCCCCATTCCCGGGTACCACATGTCCCTCCAGCCCCCCACCCCCCATCTCCACCACGCTGCTCTGGTCAGGCCTTCCTGGGATGGATTACCCAACAAGCAAGGTACATACAGGTTACTTGTACTTACTAACTAATCTGAAGTGACGATGTGGTGAGACCCATGTGAAATTATGCACTACAGATTAGTAAGTAAGCACAAGTAAGCCTGTGTATACCATGCTTGATGGTTAATCCACTCCTGAGGCCTCCCAATCACTCACTCAAACCCCCAGTCTCTTCAGGGTCACCTGCCTGCAGGCTGGTCATTCAAACCACCCTCCACACAACCTGAGGGTGCTCTCTAGAGCACAGCTTTGGTCTTCAAACACTCCTGTGGATGCCTTTACCTCCAGGGAAGAGTTCTAGCCCACAGCACCTGAGGCCCGGGGGCAACTGGGCCTTGCGTGCCTCTCTAGGCTCATCCCCAACCCGCTCAGCCTGTCCCCACCTCTATGTGGCTCGTCCCCTGTGGGCAAGGGTACCCACTATCTATTCTAGAGGATGTCTATCCTCTTCTACTCTCTGACCCCATGCTGCGTGGCTAACTCCTATTCACCTGTTACTACTGATATCAAGTAGCACCTCTGATATGGATTGAATTGCGTCTCCCCAAAATATGTGCTGGAATCCTAACCCCTTTACTTGTGGATGTGACCTAAGCTAATGCAATAAAATCACCTTCCATAATGCAATCTAATGTAATGTAATCAAGGGATCAGTTGAGGTTATGGCAGTGTAGAGTGGCTCCTAAACCTATCACTTCTGTGTTATAAAAGGAGCAGATCAGACACAGAAATATGCACACATGGGGGGAAGACAGATGCCATGTGAGGCTCGTCTACAAGCCAAGCAAACAATGAATGCCCAGGACCACCTACAAGGAAGGAATTGACATGAACAAGACCCTGACTTGGACTTTTAGCCTCCAGAGCTATTAGAAAATAAATGTCTGTTCTTTAAAGCCACCCACTTGTGGCATTTCTGTTACAGCAGCACGAGGAAACTAAGATACCCTCCTCCAAAGACCCCTCCTTCCCACCCACACCCACCAGCCTGGGTTAGGCCTCCCCTGCCAGGTCTCCCACCACACCAGGGACATCTCTCTATCCATGCCCTCATCAGTGTACTGAAACTCTCTGCTGGACTACTTAAGGGCAAGACCTGGCCTGCCTCCCCTCTGGGCTCCCAACATCCTGCACACAGAGGGCGTGACATCTGGTGCTAGCAGGACTCAGCAGGTACAAGGGGCGGTTACCTTCCTGCCCCTCTCCCGGGCGCTGTCGATCACATGCTTTACGTCACTGGCATAGGCCTCTGCAGGGTTGGGGTGGTCCTCCCGGTAGGGGCCCCGGTAGGTGTCTGGGAGTGGTGCCTGTGGGGGGTGACAGCTCCGTGTCACTGTGTGTATGGGTGGGCCCTGACCTGCTGCTGATGTAGGCAGTGCATACCACGTGGACCCACTCCTTCTGGCCGTCCAGGTTCCGGAACTTGTAGGGGCTGATGTCAATCAGGGAGCTCAGGTGTCCGTGATATGCACTGGGGAGGAGAGGGAGGTGGGCTTAGGCCCAGGCCAACATGGACTCCTCTGCCTGCCTCAGAAAACGCAGGGAATGCCAACCCCTGTCACAGCACCCCATCCACAGGCTGGGAGTCAGCAAGGCTTCCTGGCAATGTCATCTACTAGCTACAAAATGAGGGCTCATTATTTAACTGTTCTGGCTCCAGCTTTCTTCTTCAGGATCACACTGAGTCTTAAAGTGCAACCATGCTCCAAGCCTGGCCCTCGGTCTTGGGCACATCAGACTCAATACAGGGGAGTGACTGTTGGGACCCACCCCCCATTTGTCAGTTTGTCATGCTGTGATGGCTTGCTTGTTGCTGTGATGCTGGCAGCTATGCTACCGGTATTATCAAATACTAGCAGGGTCAGCCATGGTAGACAGGTTTCAGCAGAGCTTCCAGACTGAGACAGACTCAGAAAGAAGGCCTGGTGATCTACTTCCGAAAATTAGCCAATGAAAACCTTATGGGTCACAACAGAATATTGTCTAACTGAGCGCTGGAAGATGAGCCCCCTAGGTTGGAAGGCCCTCAAAATACAGTAGTCACAGCAATGGACTTGAGCATACCAAAGATCATGGAGATGGTGCAAGACCTGGCAACGTTTTGTCCCATAGCACATGGGGTCACTGTGAGTCGGAGCCGACTTGATGGCAACTAACAACAATAGCTGTCAGGACAGCTTTAATATTTTAAAGGTTATAAGATGGACTTTCACCACATTACAAAGCATTCTCTGCTCCCTAGGAGGTGCCCTTGCAGAACAATGGGACTCAGGGAAAGAGCCTCTGTGGGGTCTCTGTGGCCCACTCCCCTGCCTGTCAGGTTTCCCTGCAGTCGCTCAAGCCCCTCACCCTGCCTGGCCTAAGGCATCCTGGGATGGTTACTCTTATGTGTTCACCTGGCTAGGCTATGGTGCTCAGTTGTTTGGTCAAACAGTAGTCTAGATGCTGTTATGTTGTTGCTGTTAGGTGCTGTCGAGTAGGTTCTAACTCATAGCGACCCTATGTACAACAGAACGAAATACTGCCTGGTCCTGCGCCATCCTCAGAATTGTTGTTATGCTTGAGCCCGTTGTTGCAGCCACTATGTCAATCCATCTCGTTGACGGTCTTCCTCTCTTTCACTGACCTTCTACCAAGCATGATGTCCTTCTCCAGGGACTGGTCCCTCCTGATAACATATCCAAAGTACATGAGATGAAGTCTTGCCATCCTTGCTTCTAAGGAGCATTCTGGCTGCACTTCTTCCAAGACAGATTTATTTGTTCTGGCAGTCCTTGGTATATTCAATATTTTTCACCAACACCATAATTCAAAGGAATCAATTCTTCTTTGGTTTTCCTTATTCATTGTCCAGCTTTCACATGCATATAAAGCAATTGAAAATACACCATGGCTTGGGTCATGCACACCTTAGTCCTCGAAGTGACATCCTTGCTTTTTTTTTTTAAAAAAAAAAACACTTTAAAGAGGTCTTTTGCAGCAGATTTTCCCAGTGTAATACGTCGTTTGACTTCTTGACTGCTGTTACATGGGCGTTGATTGTGGATCCAAGTAAGATGAAATCATTAACAACTTCAGTATTTTCTCTGTTTATCATGATGTTACTTATTGGTCCAGTTTTGAGGATTTTATTTTTCTTGTAGATATTAAAAAAAAAAAAAAAAAGTAACCAGTTGCTGTCGACTTGACCCTGACCCATAGCAACCCCATGTGTGTCAGAGCAGAACTGTGCTCCACAGGGTTTTCAGTGGCTGATTTTTCACAAGTAGATTGCCAGGCTTTTCCTCTGAGGTGCCTCTGGCTGGACTCAAACCTCCAAATTTTTGGTTAGCAGCTGAACGCATTTAACTGTTTGCGTCACCCAGGGGCTCCATGAAGTAGTTACAAGCGTTAAATCAGTTGGCCTTAAGTAAGTAGATTACCCTCCATAATGTGCGTGGGCCTTATCCAATAAGAGGAATGAGGTCTTGAGAGAAAAAAGAATTTTCCCAGGGCGTAAACAGCCATCTTGCCAGAATTCCTCCACTCTTCCCGTCACCTGGCCTATGGATTCTGGGTCACAAGTCTACAGGAATCGCCAGCCTGTCACCTAACCTACAGATTTTGGACTTGCCAGTCCCCACAATCATGTGAGCCAATTCCTTAAAATACTTAAATCAATCTCTCTCTCTCTATATACGTATATATCTTAAAAAAAAAAAAAAGAACAAGCCCTTTGCCGCTGAGTCGATTCTGACTCATGGTGGCTCCATGTGTTACAGAGCAGAACTGCTCCACAGGGTTTTCTTGGCTGTGATCTTTATAGAAGCAGATCACTAGGTCTTTCTTTCGAGGTGCTGCTGGGTGGTTTCAAACCACCAACCTTTAGATTAGCAAGTGAGTGCAAACCATTTTTGCCACCCAGTGACCTTATATATATCTTACTGGGTTTGTTTCTCTAGAGGACCCTGACTAAGACACATCAGAAGTCAGGGTCTCAGTGATCCCCAACAAGTTCCCAGGCCCAAGGCTTCTGGGAGGGGTAGGGCTGTGAGTGGGACTTACTGGTCCAGCACCACCACATCCTGGTGTCCCGTGTACTGGCGGGCCAGCCTCAGGGCCAGGTCGTTGGCTTCTGACCTGTGGCAGAAAAGGTGGGTGCTGCTCAGACAGCCGTCCGAGGGCACAGTCACGGCAGTGCTGCTGCCCTGCTCTCCCACCTGGAGACAGCTTCCCACAGACAGACCCTTGGGAAGGAGGGGCCCCTCCACCAGCAAGATGGTTCTCAGGATACCACTCACTCACTTGCTCACTCAGTGTTTATCAAACGCCTTCTCTGTGCTAGGCATGGTGGTTGGAGCTGGGGGCTAATATAGTAAGTAAAACAAACCAGCCCTGGCCCTCCTGGAGCTTACATTCTAGTGTGTATCATAGAAGCAAAAGGATGCGGAGAAAGGGGGTGCCAGATGGCCCTGCTTTAGACCGGGGGCCTGGGAAGGCCCTATGAGGGAACACGGGCACTGATTTCTGAGGGCCAAGGACCAGCCACTTACAGAAGTTTCCTGGCAGATGGAGCAGCACACATCAAGGCCCTGCGAGGTAAACGAGCTGGTGTGCCCAGGGACCCAAGAGAGGAAGGGGCAGGGCAAGGTCTAACCAGAGCCTTGTGGGCCTCGGGAAGAGCCTAGGTTGAATTCTTAGTTCCATGGGAAACCACTGAAGAGTTTTAATCAGAGAAGTGACATGACTCAACCCATTTCAGGAGGAAGCCTTTGGCTGTGTGTCTAATTGAGTAGAAGGAATGAAAAGTGGGAGAGGGCAGACTTAGAGGAGGATGTCCAGGGAGAGCTGGGAGTGGACAGATTAGAGATATCCGGTACAGACTAGGCAGGGCTGGGCACAGTACCGGGAGGGGGTGGGAGGCTCCTGCCTTGTGTGACTAGTACATGAGGGAACCATTTAGGAGGACATTTATGGGCTGGGGTGTAGGGGGATGGTATTCTTGGTAAGGCATGGAGTAGGTGCCCAGGACTGGTGGGGGAGAGTCAATGCCAATTCCCATACCAGGTGCTGGTGGAAGACAAGCAAGAGCTCACTTTTGGACACGTTAAATTGGAGATGTTTGTCAGACGTGAGGTAGGCAGTTAAAACGCGAGTCTGGAACACATGGGCAACATCTAAGCTCAGGACATAAATCTGCAAGTCATTCAGCCTACAGATGATAGTTACAGCCACGGGGATGGATGAGGCCACGTAGGGAGAGGGCTTGGAGAGGAAATGGCCCAGGATCAACCCCGAAGAGCAAAGGAGGAGGAGCCAGCAAAGGAAACAGAGGAGAGAGGCTAGAGAAGTTGGAAGGAAACAGAGAGCACAGTGTGCTGGAAGCCAGAAGGGAAAGAAGCATCTCCCGAGAAAGTGGTTCAGTCCATCAAGTACTGCCAAGAGACAGAGTATGACAGGGCAGCAAAGAGGCCACTGGATTTGGCACCATGGAAGTCACTGGAACCCACACGAGAATACATGTGGTGGAGGAAGCCGGCAAAAATATTCCTTCTTCTAGGCCCCAAGAACACTGACTCCTGGGCCCAGCTCCCTGCTCTTCCCAAAGAAACTGACTAGGAGCCTGACGGTCTTTGGTTCGCACTCTGGCTCCACCCTTTCCTGGATGGATAACCCTGGGCAAGCTGAACTGCTATCTCCTTATCTGTAAAATGAAGCTAGCAATTCCGAGAAATTACTGGGGGACTAATGAATGTACTATGTAGATGGCAATGATGGTGGTAGTAGTCATTACCATACTCCAAACACTGCTACTTTGAGTTGCCGAAATGTTCTCTCCCACGTACGCTGCACTGATTCCAGGTACACTTTATCTATCCCTTTCTGTATCCACTGCCCTAGTTCACGCTACCATCCCCTTTCACCTGGCTGCTGATTGGTTCCTAATAGTGTCCAGTCTTGCTCTCCCCTAGTCCTCATTACATCACTTCCCTGATTAAAAGCCTTCAATGGCTTCCAAAGCTTTTAGGATAAAAACAGATTCCATACTTGGCTGCTTAGGCCCTGGGTGATGGGGTCCTGCCATCCTCTCCAGTGTCAGCTTGCACCCTCTCCCTTCCCTCACGGGCCTTCTTTCAGTTCCTCAAATGTGCTGGCATGCTGTGCCCTTCCTGCCGCAGGGCCTTTGCATAGGCTGTTCCTTTCAATGGAGTGGGCAGCACCCTCCCCTTCCGCCTCACTTAGTTGTCTCCTGGTTAGTTTTTAGCTCTCAGGTTAACATCACTTATCCAGGGATGCCTTCCCTGACCCCCTGGAACAGGTCGTGTCCCCTTCATTACACCCTGCACTCTTCTTCCAGACACTGATCCCACTTTGTAATCCTGCATTTCCCTGAAGAGTCACTTGAGGTTTCTGTTCCTCACTGAGCAACTTGAGTGCAGAGGTTTGGGCTGTATCCCTCAGTACTGTGCTGTGGACTTGTGGGGCAGACAGAAATCATGGAATTTATCACCTCATTAACCCCCAACAATGATCCGGGAGGGGAGCTAACTGCATCCCTGACTAAGAGACAAGGAGACTGGGTCTGACACATAACCCATCAGGGTGCAAGCTAGGCTGGTCGGGAGCCAGGCACATCAAGGGCTGCCCCTCCCTGAAGTCCACGAGGTCTGCTACTCCATGTTCAACCCACTTGAGCAACTCTCTTGCATTGTTTCACCCTCCTGCCAGGGCTGGTGCAGTCCACTTACCCAGAATTCAGGAAATAGAACACACAGAGCTGCTCTGGCAGGGTCTCTGCAAGCCTCCGCGCATAATTGACGATGTTGTCATGCAGGTACCGGCTGTTGGTGTTGAGCACCTGGTTCTGTTCATGTGCCGCTTGGACCACGAGAGGATGGCAGTGCCCAACTGGAAGAGGCCACTCAGTCACCTGGCCGGCCCCTTTTGGCCAGTCCCACTGGGCCTCCCCCAGGCCAATTCTAGAGAGGGGGACCTAGGAAGCAGTTGCTGAGATCTAGCAGAAGGAAACAGAGCCCTGGTGGCGCAGTGGTTAAGAGCACGGCTGCTAACTAAAACTTTGGCAGTTTGAATCCACCAGCTGCTCCTTGGAAACCCTATGGGGCAGTTCTACTCTGTCCTATAGGGTCACTGAGTTGGAATTGACTTGACAGCAGTGGATTTTTGGTTTTGTCAGAAGGAAACAGTTCTCTGGCAGAAAGCATCTGGGAGACCCTGCCTGGAAAACCCATGTCTTTAAGGAGGCTTCCTGAGGCCTTCTTTTTGACAAGGGCAGGGGGTCTGTCAGCAAGCTTGACTTCACCAGTCAGTGGGGACTACAGGTCATCTAGATTGCCAGAAGTCAAGGACCATGACAACAGCGAGCGTATTGAGAGCTCACTATGTGTCAAACCAAAAAAAGAACCAATCAGCTGCCGTTGAGTTGATTCCTACTTATGGAGACCCCATGTGTGCCAGAGTAGAATGTGCTCCATAGGGTTTTCAATGGCTGTGATCTTTCAAAAGTAATCACCAGGCCTTTCTTCAGAGGCATCTCTGGGTGGATTCAAACCGCCAAGCTTTCAGTTTGTAGCTGAGTGCTTAACCGTTTGCGTGGCCCAGGGAGTACCATGATGTGTCAGGCACATTTGAAGTGACATGAATTAACTCACTTAACCCTCTGAAGCACCTGAAGGTGGGTATGTTATTACATCTATCATGTCTATTTTGTAGATGAGCAAATCAAGCCACAAAGAAATTAAGTAACTTTCCAAGATCACAAAGCTGGTAAGTGGAGGACAGGGATTTGAATCCAGGCAGTCTGGGCTAGGGCCCTTGCTCTTAGCCTCTACTTTATTAACCTCCAATTTGCCTACTGAGTCTCAGGCTCTTTTTCCTTATGTCAGCTCTGGTGGCTCCATATGGATGACTGAATTCCTACTTCAGTTTCCTTAGCCAGCACCTGAGATGGTCACTGGGGCTGAAGTCCTGGGTTATTGGTCATAGCTGGGCCATCTCCTGCTCCTGAGCTCTCCAGCAGCCCCACGCGGGACTGCACCCCCAGACCTAGGTCTCTAGATTAAACATGGCTACTCCTTGGAAACTTACAGATCTACACCGTAAAAACTGAGACTTCTTTGGCCATGAATGCTGGCTGGCTCAACTCAACCCAGGTTCTCCACACCCCTCTGCAGCCTCGTGACACCCTCAGACCAGGCGCACAGCCTTGGCCTCCTCTCCTGCACCTCTAGTCTGAGGGATGATACTGACCGTGAGCCACATTGTTGATGCAATCGAGGTATTCTGCCCCTTGTTCGTCATACATGTACTGTCCCTGGCCTCGGACGATCTTAACAGGATCCTCAGGGAAAAAGAGTCTGCAGGAAGAGCTGTGGGGACAGGTAAGGGGTGGACAACTTTGTCTGAAGATCTGAAGGGTGAGGTCCACCCATCACAGGCCTCCCCTACTCCTTCCCAGTTTCTGAAACAAAAGCTTGAAAGGTGTTGCTTCCCTGTCTCCAGTCTTCCCACTCCATAACCCATTCCATAAACCAGTTGCCTTCAAGTTGACTCCGACTCATGGCCACCCCATGTGTGTCAGAGTAGAACCTGTGCTCCACAGGGTTTTCAAAGGCTGATTTTTTGGAAGTAGATCACCAGGGCTTTCTTCCCAGGTGCCTCTGGGTGGACTCCAACCGCCAACCTTTTGAGTTAATCATCTGCACCACCCAAGGACTCCTCCTACCCCACAGGTGGGTGGAAAGAAGGTATGGGGTAAGAAATTGCTAAAAATTAAATTGTTTCTTAAGTCATTTCAAAGCTACATGGTCTTGCTCCTTCTGCATCTGTCCCTTGGATTGGGGAAAAGGTGGCTGCCCCAGACCCACGTGGCGGGGGGGGGGTGTGTCTTCTTAAGGTTGTTTCCTTGCTGGGAGGGGTGTAAGGGAGGGCACCCACACTGGGTCGCTGGCTCTTAGCCCTAACTTGTCCTTGCCAGCTAGGTGGCCCAGCTGCCCCGCCAGGTGCCAGCCCCAAGCTCTGGCCAGAGGCTGCCTCACTGCCATGTCCCTTCTTAAGCGAAGTCAAATGTGCTTTCTCCAAGGCCTGCCTGTGTAAACTATCCGCCAGCCCCACCTTTCATCTGTCCTTTCAGCCCTTTCCTGGGTCACTCTAAAGCTGCCACTGGGTGAGGTCCTCCCAAGTGCCAGGGCAAAGGCCTTCTGCGGGGGCAAAGACTTCCTAGTGAGATTGCCAAGAGCTCGGGCAGGGGCTGCGGGTGGAGCGGCTCACGAGCGGCAGGGCAGGCCGAGGGCCGGCCCACAGAGGAAGGACGCTAAGGGCGGCGGCCGGGGAGGCGGCAGCCGCAGGGCCCGGGCTGCGCGCGGCTCTGAGCTCCGGACCCCGGACCCAAAGGCCAACGCGGGCCGGAATGAGCAGGGTGAGCCAGGCGGGGCTGGGGGGGGTCGAGGCTCCGCGCCAGGCGTGCGTCATGCGTGTCCCCGCGCCATCCCCCGCTCGCCTTGGTACCCGATGAGCCGCCGCCTCAGGGCCAGAGTCTCGGCCTTTCCGCGCTGGTCCGCGGCCATGGCGCCGGTGCGGCAGTCGGTGCGGCGTCTCGGCCGCGGAAAGAGCGCGCCACGCGGCCCGGCTCAGAGGGACCGCCCGCCTTAGGCCCCGCCCCCTCCGTAGAGGGCACCTTGTGTCCCGCCCCCAAAGTGGCCCATCGCGCGTCTCTTCATTTATTCGTTCGTTCAGCAAAAAAACCTGGCAGGGCCCGCCACCCCCGAATCGGTCCTTGGTAATGGCCACGTGGGAGCCGGGTTTGTGCTTGCGTTGCCTGGTGCTGCTCCGATCACAGTCATCCGGGCCTCGCCCCCCGGATCCTTGCAGTTTCCCTCCCCAGGGAGGGACCCCGGGGTGACCGCGCCTCTGCTCCCGGGCCTTGCAGGGCGCTGAGTTCCCGCAGCCCTCGCCCAGGCCTCGGCTTCAGCCTGTGAGTCGCTTTCCCCTGCGTCAAATGGGATGCGCCGTGAGGATTAAATGGGTGTGTGACAGGCACCCAGCCGAGGGCCTGGCCCACAGAGCTGGGGGCCTAGATCATCCCATCCCCGTGAAGGAGCAGCAGGAAGGGCAGAAGGAGAGCACAGGGCCACTCACTGCTGGTGCTGACCAAGATCACCATGGGCACGGCCTTCAGGGCACCACTATGGTTAATAGAATCTTGGCAGGGTGAACCAACACCAAGAGAATCATATAGTGTTCAGACAGGAAGAGAATTGCCTGAGCCCTATTGTACATGGGAGGAAACAGCTCCAGAAAGGGAAAGGGCTTTGCTCCCAGACTAGCAGAAAGTCAGCAGCAGAGGCAGGACTCAGCTCAGGTCTGCCTGACTCCCAGCCCAGGGAGTGAGGAAAAGGCCTGCAAGGACCTGGGAAGCTGCAGTGGCAGAGAGAGAACCCCTCCGGGGCTGGGCAGTGGGACTTCCTGCTTTGATGATTCCTAGAACCAGGGTTGCAGCCTGGGCAGGGTGGCCTGGGCGGCTGGGGAAGGGGAGGCTCCTGCTTGTCCTTCTTTTTCTGTACCTCTTCATGGTTCCCAGCCATCTGCTTCACTTCCTCATTGCTGCTTTTTTCCTCTGTTCCTCTTAAAATTATAAAATGTCTAAGGCATTTATTAAAGAACATTTGGACTTTCTTATTTTTAACTTTAAAGGGGAATTGAATCTTTTACATGATTCTTGAAAAAAATTCCTCCCAAATTAACTGAGAGGTTGTTTGTGGCCTGTACTTCTTTCCTGAGGTCCCCTCCACCCCCTGCTCTTGTGAAATGTGAGTGGGACCAAGGTCATCGTTTCTCTCAATGTATCTGCTCCTTTTAGGTGGAGAGACCCATAGCCGCCTTCCCACTCTTTGGTTCCAGCTTTTAATGTAATATGTGTGTATTGAGGTTTGAGACTCTTATTTTAGCCCTGTCCAGGCCCAAACTCTTGCCACAGCTAAGGCCCAGGGCAGCTCAGAGAAGTCAGGTTGGCTTAGGGGCTTTGCCTGCTTGAGCTGGAGGGTGAGAAGGCTGCAGCCGGGCCCAGGCCGCATCTTACCGGCTCCAGGGCTGTCCAGGGTCAGAAGGAGATAAAGCTGGAGCCTAGACCAGGTGGGCCTTTCTTGGGCCAAAAGTATCCATGATGGGGCAAGACAACCCCAGGATACCTTTCCTTCTCGTGCTCAGGAAAGTGAAATCCTTCTTGCCTCTGGCCCGTGCTCTCATGCTGGCCCTCTGAGGCAGCATCGGGGGCCAGGGGGGCAGGGGACAGGAAGAAGTGGCTGAGCTAAGATTTGAACCGAGGGCATGGCGTTTCTCAATGGAGGAGGCACTGGCATTCTTGGTGAGACAATTCCTCACTGGGCGGGACTGTCCCATGCACTTGAGACGTTTAATGTCCCTGGACTTGCCCACTGAATGCCAAGAGTGTCTCCCAGTTACTGGACAACCAGAAGCATCCTGCGCATTTCCGGGAGTAGCCCAGGCATCAAGAGGAAGGAGATCTGGGAAGCCCACTCCTCTTGGGCCTCAGATTCATTCGCAAAATGGGGATAGGAATCCTAGTGATTAGTTTATGCACCACATGCAGAGTGCAGGGCGTGGCACACAATACAAAAAACAAAACAAAACAAAACAAAACCAGTTGTGATCAAGTTGATTCTGACTCATGGCAACCTCATGGGTGCAGAGTAGAACTGTGCTCCAAAGAGTTTTCAAGGCTGTGACCTTTCGGAAGTAGAACACCAGGCCTTTCTTCTGAGGGGCCTCTAAGTGAGTTTGAACCACCAGCCTTTTGGTGAGTAGTTGTTGTTAGGTACCATCGAGTTGAGTTCAACTCATGGCAATCCCATGTGACAGAGTAGAACCCTCCCATAGGGTTTTCTAGGCTATAATCTTTACAGAAGCAGGTCACCAGGTCTTTCCCCGCGGAGCCACTGGGTGAGCTCAAACCGACAAACTTTTGGTTAGCAGTTGAGCATTTAACAATTTGTGCCACCCAGGGATTCCTTGGCACACAGTAGAGCTTGATAAATATGCTTCCCTCTCTTCTGAAGGGAGTAGTTTGAGGCAGAACTGCCCTTCGTGGCCGGGAGACCCTCAGCCCCTCAGCCCCTCAGCCCTTGAGGTTCAGCTCTGAGGCAGGGCACTCCCTAATGTCTCAGCCAGGACCTCCAGCAAGTCACTTATTCTTCCATAGTCTCCTTACGCTAGGGAACTGGGGGACCCCAAGCTCTCTGAGGAGTCCAAAACCAAACCCGTTGCTGTCCAGTCGAGACTGACTCAAAGGCAGAGAACTTTGAAGTTTGCAGGCTTGAGTATACAAAGTGAGGCCACAAGGGGGCAACAATGGGCCAAGAATGGCCCTGTCCTGCACAAAGAAGCAGAAAAGGGACTGCCTCGAGTCCCTTGGGTGTGCAGGGAGGGGGAAAACATGGCTTCTACTCCCTCAAGGGCCTGTCTGGCAGTTCAGCTTTGTGCGGGTACCTAACGACTCCATGCCTTGCCAAACAATTTTAGTAAGACAAATTAGAGGGCATCAAAGAACCTGGGTCCAATCCCAAGCTGGCTACCAGGTCCTGGCTGTGCATCCCTGAGCAAGTGACTACCCTCTCTGAGCTTTAGTTTTCCCATATGTAAAATTTAAATGTTGACCCCCTACCATTCCTCCTTCACTGGGTGGGTGAGGGGATCCAGTGAGGTAACTGGGTGGAAAGAGGAGTGATTTGTAAACAGTGAAGTGCGGTGGGCATGTGAGACTTAGGATGGGACCCCAAAGGAGGCTTTGACATCCAGTGAGCCCCTCCAGTCATCACAGTCCCACTGTTTCTCTTCTGTCATACTAATGGCTTCCCTGGTGACCAGACGCCTGACCCAGCAGCATGTCCTGCCACTTATCAGCAGCTCCTTAGGGAGACAGGAATGGGATTTGACATATTTCTCCTCCATTAGAGTCAGTGTATGCCTGGGCCTTTTCTGCTAGTGAGGAGGCTGCGTGGCAGGGGTCTGGGGGGGACTGCTCACATTGTGGCCCTCCTTAAGCCTCAGTCCTTGGAGGGCAAAGGCCTGAGACACCATCACTTCAGGCCCTTCCTTAGCTACACCTCCCTGGATGTGCTTGGCTTTACTATCTGTGAAATGGGCACATTCATCGGGTTCCTCTCTCTGAGTTGTTATAAGGACCCGCGGGGATGAGAGACTGGAAATGTTCTCATCCTGCAAGAGAGAGGATTAAGAATCACGGAAGCATAGAGGCACCTGACCTGGCCTAGGTTTTTGGCATATTCTACCGCAGAGGATCCTCACCCAACCAGTATCGCATTTACAGAGGAGGCAGCGGGTTGAATGTTCTAAGATGGCTGCAGCAAGATCTACTCTCCCACATTTTCTTCTTGAAACATGATGTTGACACTCTTCCCATAGAGAGGTGGGGTCTAGCTCCCTCCCCGTGAGTCTAGGTGAGCCACTGACCCTGGTGGGAAGTGACACCATATGGCTTCTGAGGCTTGGCCATAAAAGGTGACACAGCTTCCAGCTGGCCCACTTGGGACAATTACCCTTGGGATTGAGCCTCTATGCTGTGAGGAAGCCTAAACCATGTGGAGAGGTCATGGGAGGTGTTCTGGCCATCTGAGGTCCCAGCTGACAGCCAGTCATCAACTGCCCCTACACGGGAGCAAGGAAGCCTTTGAGAAGACTCCAGCCTCAGCCATCTGCCTACAGCCACATGAGAGAGCTAGAGTGAGAACTGCCAGTTAAGCCCAATAACCCTCTGAGAAGTAGAAATGACCATTGCTTAAGGCAGCAAGTGTTGGGGTGATTTGTTATGCAGTGGTCACTGCTAACCAGAACAGATGAGGACAGAGGCTCAGCAACGTGAAGTGATGGGCCAGAGGACTCAGCTGAGAAATGGCAGAGCCAGGCCAGGAGTCTGGTTCTACCTAACTCCAACTCCATCTTTTGCCCAGACCCTGAACTACCTCCTGTGGTTTCTGGGGTGGCCCAGGGAGAGTCCCCTCTCTCCTTCCCAGCAATGGCCAGGCTGAGATGGTGCTGGGTTGAATCCTCACCCAGAGAGGCCTAGAGGCAGCTTCAAGGACAGGCATACCCAGGCATATATTTGTGGTTTATTACACACAGCAATGTCCAGCTATACAGATGGGAGGTGAGGTGTGGGGGTGGAGCTGGTGGCTGGGACCCTTGTCAGAAGTGGGAAAGCCTCTTGTCCGAGTGCAGGTGGCCCAGTTGAAGCCCCTGCTCAGGCTGGCTGGGGACCAGCCCGGAAGTTTGCTTCATCAGCACATCTCACCGGGAGGACTGTTTCGGTGCTGCCTGGAGTTCTCCCAGGCTGCAGACTTGGGACCAATGAGACTGAATGCTGAGCCAGGGGGCTGTGTCCTCAGGCCTGCAAAGTGCCCTCATGTCCATGACCTGGGTGGTGTGAGAGAGGCAGGAACAGCGGCCTGGGACCCTCCAACATCCACATTTGGGGGTCACTGGGCTCCCTGCAGCTGGGCCCACGTCCCAGTTATCACGGCACTTGGCCGCAACTCCCGGCCAGAGGAAAGTGTTCTCAGTGGAGGCTGGCTGCCCAAGGTCCGCTGACCCAGGCCACTGGTGGGAGCCAGACCCACTCAGGTGCTTCCAGTGTCCAGCTGCAAGTGCTGGTGGGAGTCTTGTCCAGCCCTGGTGCTTCCAGGGTCTGGGAGGCTGAGGGGTGAGCAGCTGGCTGTGGCTGAGTTTGGAGGTGGGAGAAGCCAGAGCAGCTGCCATCAAGCCCTGGGCTTCGTGGGCAGGGTGGGGCACCAGGGCTCTGGAGTGTCGGGGTGCAGGCTCTGCGGGGCAGTGGGCAGCTGTGAGTCTCGGCTAATCAGGTGACTGAAGGCCCAGCTGGTGTGTTCCCAGCCTCACCAGAGCCGAGTACCGTCTCCGTTGTCTCCTTCCTGGGAAAGCCACGTCTGGGGGGTGCTCCCCCTGTATCATCCTGTCCATGCTCCTGCCAGCGGCACAGGCTCATCTTTCCGTGGCTGAACTGGGCACACTCCAATGTGAAAGGCCACAGGTGGCAGCATCCCATGGAAAGGATCAATATATTACTGTTTTATTTTTACAAAAGTTAAAAGCATCCACACGGATCTGTACAGGTTGTGAGCTGGGTGCTGGGGTCACTGGAAACGGAGGGAAAGACGGAGGTGAGGAGGGGAGTGAGGCCCTGGGGCTGCCCTCTTGCCCGGGCCACCCTTTTCTGGTACCCATGTTCGGCCTATTTCCTCCTGAACAGATGTGGCCCCGACTCCCTCTTCTAGGCTCCTGACCTCCGCTCCCTTTCAGTGGTATGATTTAGATAGAGTGCCAGGAGGTGCCGGTAGCCAGGCCTGGACTGAGCCCATAATGACCAACAGGGCAGGTTAGGCACAGTCCCCCAGGACCACAGCCCCGAGCCTCAGGCCAGCAGAGGCAAGGCTACATTGTGCTGAGAACGCCTGGCTGTTGAGCCACTGCACAGGGAGCTGCAGACACACAGATCTCTGAGTGATGGCACCAGCCCTGGGGTCCACCCATGCTTCCCCCTCCTCTGAGCCTGAGCCACAGAGACTGCCCTGCAAGTTACCTTATGCCAGCAGCCGGGCACTGGCAGCCCGTCAGGGCCCTGGAAAGGAAGAGAGCTTCAGTGACTGGGCACAGGCCTGGTCCCCTTTTCTACTCCCTGGCCCATATCCCTTAAAGCAGAAGGGGGACATGGCCCAGGGACTGCCAGGTGAGGCCGCTGGATCCCACTGAGGCAGGGCCTGAGTGGACAGCCTGTCTCCTTCCGTCCACCCGGGCAGCTGGGTCGCAGACATGGTGGTCCCCCCCTGCACTTGTCCAGAGCATGTGCCTAAGTGCTCTGTTGGGGTCTTTACTCTTTCAGGACACCTGTCTGGTGGGCAGAGATAAACATTGTGGAGTAATGGGCATCATACCAGAGAGTCACTGGCCAGGAGACAGCCAGGGGCCAGCCCTTGCTGAGGGGCTGCATAGCTTCCTGCCTGGGGGCCAACCCAAAAGCTCTGGCCCTCACCCCGGGGCCCAGGAACTGTCAGCCTTGGGCAGCCATGTCTCCATGAGTGTCTGCAGCCCATCTTGCACCCTGGGGTCTGAGCGGTAGAGTGGGTGGGCCAAAGTGGTCAGGGTGGGAACTGGGCATGGGGCGAGGTGGCTGTCTGGGGGCACCAGCAATGCCCTTCGGCCATCAGACCCAGAATGAGGACAGGTGGCCTCTGGCAGCCTCGTCATGGGGGATTGGAGAGGGATCAGTCCTTCAAGTTAGAGTCCCTGGGGGAATGCCAGGGCAGAAAATGCTTCACTCTGTTTCAAGGCACACAGCGCAGGCCTCAAACCCATGGGAACATCCCTTGGGGTCATATGCCAGGGGTGCAGGCTGGGGTGGGGCAGGAGGGGCAGAGGGAAAAGGAAGGATAAGTGAGGCAGGGTGGGGCAGAGGAGTGGGCACAGACAGCTCTGGTGAGCACAGCACAGCACACAGCAGGCAGATACTGTACCGCAGGGCAGGGCCCAGCGCCCCGCGCCAGGCCCCGCAAGCCCGGCGCCCCTTGCTTGCCTCCGCATTTAGGATTCTCCTGTTTCAAAGACAAGGGCTAACTGATGTAGGGTTAAGTCCTGGCTCCAGGGCCTGGAACTGCATGGGCCACCCTGTCCCCTGCTGTCCCTGGCACATTTTTTGTGTGTTTACCATTCTGCTCTTCATGTCTTTTTCTCACTTAATTCTCAAAACCACCTGGGAGGAACGGATTACCACACCCATTGTATGGATGAGGAGACTGAGGATGGAGGGCTGCAGTAACTCCTTCTCGGCCCCTGGCTCTGACCCCTGTGGGGTTCTCCCCGCTGGAGGCCTTCCCCACAGCCCTTGCTGGGTGGTCTGGTGTGAACGTTTGGTGAGTTTTATATAGGAACTCAGCGGTCTTGTTTCTCCTGTCTTTGCTGTACCCCACTAGAAGAGTGGGGCCCGAAGCCCTTCCTGCCAGCTAGGAAAGGGTACTGATTGTGGTGGTTTCAGGCACTGGATTTGCTGGGCCACCAAGGACTTAGTGAAAGAACAAGAAAGGAGAAAGATTCTGTGGAGAAGCGGGGACAAGGGTGGGGCTGCCCCGGGCTAGAAAAGGATTCCTGTGGGAAGGGAAGGAAAGAAGGGGAACGATGGATACCACCAGAGGGAAGGATGGTCCCACCCTGTTCATGGACGAGGAACCTGAGTTTTGGCCCAATCCTGCCTCAGGCCCAGAGAGTCAGGCCCAGACTGCAGCCACAGGTGGGGTGGGGCAGGGGGCGGGTAGGGGGACATTGGGGGCTGGCAGTGGTCTTCTCTGACCCCCTTATCCCTGCTGGCCTTCCCTTCCCAGGGGCTAGCCCTTCCCAGGGGCCCCATGTGTCCTGATAACGCCATGGCAAGCACCCTCTGCTCAGGGTCTACCCCCTCCTCACTCCCCACCCAAGACAGGACCCTTCAGGCCGGGTGCCCTTGGGCTGAGTAAGGTAGGGGCAGTGACCCTGGCCAGCAGACAATGTGGAGGTAGGTGCTGGGGAAGGAGGTGGCAAGACCTGAGTGCTGAGAACCAGGAGAATCTTGGTTGACCCTGGCTGTAGGCGGCAAGCTCTGGGTTGGGGCCCCCTCTCACTCTGACACTTACCACAGGACATGGCTGGTCCAGGCCTGGTGGTCCTGGTTCCCCCTTCTGGCCTTTCATTCCTTTCCGGCCAGGGACCCCTCGCTCCCCCTGCACAAAGGAAATGGGAGATGGTGGTGGCTGTCAGGCTCAGGGCCCCTCCAACAACTCAGAGGGATGGGCCCGGCACCCATAGTCATCATAGTCACTCATGTCCTGCTGCCCTTGGGCCCAGCCTCTATCAGACCCAGCCCCTACCGGCCCCTCCTTCCCACCTGCCTCTACCTTTCCTCTGCCTGCTTCTGTCTACTCCCTCCTCCCCCACTGCCCTCACCTTCTCCACCCTACCCCTATTTCTTCCCCCCTTCCCCTACCTCTGCTCCCCTGCTGCACTTCTTCCCCTGTGCCCCCACCTCCTCTCCTCCTGCTCCACCATCTTTTCTCTGCCTCCACCTCCTCTTCCCTGCCCCCAACTTCTCTCTCCCTGCTTTACCTCCTCTCCCCTGCCTTTATCTCCTACCCCCTGACCCATCTCCTCCTCCCTGCTCCACCTCCTCTCCCCTGGCCCACCTTCTCTCCACGTTCGCTCCGGTCACCTTTCTCTCCTCGAGGTCCAGGGAAACCCTGACGAAAGGTTTAAAGGTTAAATCCAAAAATAAGGTTCGCCTCCCTGTTATCTGTTCATCCTGCTCCTCTTCCATCCATCGCCCCCTCCCTCTCATCTAGTCATGGTACCAGCTAACCAGCCTCAGCTGTAAGGTGACCTGTATGCTGGGTAGAGACTGATTTCGGGGACATGCATGTAGGACACCAACACTGCTCCCTCCAAAGTAGAATGCTGCAGGCTTTTCTGGGTGGAGGCCCATAGGCAGAGCTGCCAGCAAAGGGCTTTCTCTCAACTCACAGCTAGAGCAGTAGGCCTGGCTTAGGCTTGGCTGGGGACAAAGACCCAGGAAGCCCATGGAGTTTATGCCACCATCGTGGACAGATGTGAAACGGTCTTTGCCCTTGGCTCGGTCTCTTGTATACATACCTACCCATCCGTTCATTTGTTCATCCATCTAACCAACACTATTAAGCATCCACTAGGAGCTAGGGTGTGGGCTGGACACTGGGGACTGAGAAACGGATCAGATGTGTTCCCTCCCTTCCAGTCTAACATGGTAGGCTGGGTTGCAGACAATGAGGACCAATGGTCAGTGACAGAGGAGTCCCCAGCGGCTAGAGGCTGGTCTGTCCAGGTATGGGAGTCAGGGCAAGCTTCTGAGTAGAATCTCCATTTCAGCTGGGCCAGGTGGAGTGGGTGGGCATGACTTTGAGATGCTATCTTGAGCGCCAGGCCTGGAAGGCAGCTCTGGCCACATCCATGGGGTATAGAGTCTCTCTAGCTCCACCTCCACAACTTCACTGGGTCCAAAGCCTAAACTGGACCAGCATGGTTTTTGTCCCCTGCCCCTTCTCGTCAATGGAACACAGTCAGAAACCCAGGCTAGGGTTCCTTGTCTGCAGTTGCTCTCCAAGGCAACATTCTCTCCTTAATGTCTAGCATGGACACCACAGTTCTTGCAGTTCCGCATCTAGTCACTGCTTCCCTGGAAATAGAAACTTGAGTTTCCTGGGTTCCGTCCTTTCTTCTCACACTTCACTGGCTCCACCTCCAGCTCCAGGGCTAAGCAAGTGACCAGGCCCAGCCAATCAGGGCACTACATTCTACACCGGGACTGGCTGAGTGGGTTGACCTAACTGGAACTTGTGAGAGTCAGTGAGACTTTTTCCAAAACACTAGGTGGAACTCTGGTGGCGCAGTGGTTAAGAGTTCAACTGCTAATCAAACGGTCGGCAGTTTGAATCCATCAGCCGCTCCTTGGAAGCCCTGTGGGGCAGTTCTACCTGTCCTATAGGTTGCTATGAGTCGGGTTTGGTTTGGGAGTGAGGCAAATATTCTTTCTCCTGGATTGGGACTGGGAGCATGTGGGCCTGGAGCTTAGGAATGATGCTCACACAGGGGAAGCAGAGACAAGAGAGGGTAGTGGCTGGGTTCTGGTGACACAGTTGAGCCCTGGACCCATGTGCTGCATCTCCAGACTTTTCAGTCACGGGTCATTTTAAGCCAGTTTAAATTGTTTTCTCTATCACTTGTAACCAAAAGCCGCTTGATCCAATCAACACTGAGTTATTACTTCCCCTCCTCTCCTTCCCCCATACTGCCCTCATTGAAGCATCATCTCTCACCAGGATACTGCAACAGCCTCCCCACTACTCCCCCCACCTTCCTGCCCCAATCCATTATCCATGCACGCATCATCCATTCATCCACCTATCCATGTACCTTCCTCCTTCCCTCCACCCACCTACCCTCTCATCTATTTATCCATCTATTCATCATCATCATCCCTCCCTCCCTCCCTCCTTCCCTTTATCCATTCATTTATCCATCTATCTATAAAGCATCTACTCTGGGGGGTGCACTGCACTTGGCAGTGGGGACACAGGGGCGTCAGTCAGTTGCAGTGCCAGCCCTGGGGAAGGGGGTCACACATGTGCCAGCCAGCTCAGGTTACTGTATGGGCAGCATGGGGCCAGGAGCGACACACAGGAGGAACCCGACTGTGGCAAACGATGAGACACTTACATCCAGTCCTGGTTCCCCGGGTCTGCCCTGAGGAGAGACAAAGACGGGGTTTAAGGGATCTGGGGAGGGGGTGCTGGGAGCGTAGCTGTTGGGAAGTTCAGCTCTGTGGGTTGGCCACAGACGGGGACAGGAGAGACCTACAGGCCATGCAGATATCAACAAAGGGCAGGGCAGGCATAAAGTCCGCAGAGCCTAAACCCTGCCCCAGTGAGGTGCAGGGGGCTGAGCGATACTGTGGGGGGATCCATGAGGGTGTCTACCTTCTCTCCTTTGGTTCCTGGAAGCCCAATGAGACCGGGCGGGCCCACTGGACCCTGGATGAAAAAGGAGTAGGTGGGTCAAGAGGCATGAAGGGCACAGGAATTAACCCTTTCCAGATAAACAAAGCTCATTACACTCACAGGCAGGCCGCTGGGGCCTCTCTCGCCCAGTGCGCCCTTCTCTCCTTTTGCTCCGTCCAAGCCCTGGAAGCAAAGAAGGGAAGTCAGTTAGGGAGAAAGAGGGCAGGTGTATGGCAGGACAGGAGAGCTGGGGCCTGAGGAGCTGGGGTGTGCAGGCCTGGCCCCGGCTTACTCCTTATTCCAACTAATCAGAATGAGCTCTGTGCGGGTGCCCTGACAGAGGGCTTTCACAGACATGCCTCCCTCAGCAATAGTGGGTGGTGGCTACCGTCACACTCACCCCACAAGTGAGGAAAAGGAGGCCTAGATGGGGAGGGACAAGCCCAGCCACACAGCTAGCAAGTGGCAGGGCTGAGTATCCAACAGGTTTCTGAGCCTAGTCTTGGGGCCTGTCCCTCGAGAGTGGCTGCCTCCTCAAAATGTGATCTGGGGCGGCCTTGGGACAAGACAGAAGTGGAAACAGCACATCTGGCTCTGCCAAATGCATGGCCCTGCTCGGATCTGTGACTTGAGCCCCCGCTTGGCCTCTGAGCTGGGGAAGCAGTGATGGGTTTGCCTCAAGGGTAGACAGGACGGCAGCGTAGGTAGCATAACCAGCAGTAGGGCCAGCTGGCCTCCCCTCTGTTTCTGCCTCCCCGTAACAGGGCACACGGGCAGACTGCACTTGTGACTTTAAGAGCAGGGGACACGGCATCATGTGATATACACCAGACCCAATACTCTGTGCCCAGGCTGTGGGCAGCTGAGAGACAGATGTGGGGGTTGGGGTAATGACAAGGAAGGGAGAAGCACAAAGAAAGGTGGAGGAGTGGGGCCAGAAGGCAGAGACAGTGAGAGAGGAAAGTGGGGGTGGGTGGGTGGGTGCAGACTGGGCCCCGAGGCAGAGCAAGAGCATGAGAGACAGAGATTATTGTAGGGGGGCTGGAGCACCTAGAAAGTGATGCTCCAGGAGACTTGGCAAGTTCAGTCCCCAGGGAGACGCAGGCTGGGTCCGGCCAAGTGTGGGGCCCTCACTTTGCCATTAGAAGGCTTTCTGACATCACCCTAGCAGTTTGTCTACAGTGGCCGGGGGGCCTTCCACCCACTCCCCAGCACTCACCTTGGGCCCCTGGATTCCCTGAAGGCCCTGAAGGAGAAGAGACTGGATCAGAAGGCCGTTTTGGCCGGGTCCACAGCCTGGTCTTAGGGTCCGGGCCTTGTTGCAAGCCCCACACACCCCTTCCTGCCCGGGGCCCTGACTTCCAGGGCCTCCCGAGCCCAGACCCAGGCTCTGCCCTCCTTGCCCGATGTGTCCCCCGCCTCCCCAGGAGTCCTGTCTACCCCTCAGTCACAGCTCTGGGCCCCGTGTCTACCGCCCTCTTTATATCCTGGTTGTTTCAAGCCAAACAATCCTTACCATGGGACCTGGGGGACCAGGGGGTCCAGGGGGCCCTGGCTCCACTATGATCTGGGCCTAGGAAGGGTCAGAGATGGGTTAGTCACCCACTGGCCTGGTCACCGCTCACACCCTCGAGCTCATCAGACGTTGGAGGAGCACTCGGGTTGTGGAGTAGTGGAGCTGGAGCTTCTTCTCACCCCAGGAGGGGCCTGGTGGCTGCCTGTTGGCTCTCAGGCAAGCCTCAAGCAAAGGACACAGCCTGAGGCCGCCTCACTCCCCCTTCCACCACCGCTGCCTCCGGTGTGGTCGGCCAGGCAGCCCCTCCGGGTTCTAAGGCTGAGGGCCCCAGTGGCCTGGGCAGGGCATTGCGGGAGACTCTGACCCCCAGCCCCCTCCCCCCTTACCAGGCTCTCCTGTAGGGTGTCAGGTGCTGGCTCTCCCTTCTCCCCCTTGGGACCATCGATGCCCTGCAGGATGAAGTGGCCTGTGACCCTTTGTGACCATTGCCAAAATCACCATCCACAGTGCTCAGTGACCTCCCCTCCTCCACCCCCCACATTAGACTTCTGGGCAGCAGCCTTGCTTTTGTCCTTTGTAGCCTAAAAATGTTTTTCTTAAAATCTGGGCGAACGTCCTTGGTACTGAGCACAGTGGGTGTTTAGGGAGCACACCAGCAGCTTGATAACTTGTCTCTCTATGGTGCAGGGGGCAGCCAGGGGCTCTGAAAGTACAGACCTGGGTTCAATCCCCAGCACCACCTCTCTGTCTGAGTGGCCTTGGGCATGGTGAGTCTTGACTCTGGGCCACACACCTAGTAGACGTAAGTAATGGGCACCCAGTGGCTGCTTAAAACCTGGCAGCTGCTCCCACCCAGCCACAACAATGGTGTTGTTGTTAGATAGAGTCGAGTCTGACTCCTGGTGACCTGCTGTACAAACGAAATGAAACGTTGCCTGTCCTGCGCCATCTTCATGCTCAATTGTTGGCATGCTTGAGTCCATTGTTGCGGACACTGTGTATTTTGAGTGCCTTCAACCTAGGGGACTCATCTTCCAGCACTCATTTGGACAGTGTTCTGTTGTGACCCATAGGGTTTTCACTGGCTAATTTTCAGAAGTAGGTTGCTAGGCCTTTCTTCCTAGTCTGTTTTAGTCTGGAAGCTCCACTGAAACCTGTCCCTCATGGGTGACCCTGCTGGTATTTGAAATATCAGTGGCATAGCTTCCAGCATCACAGCAGCATGAAAGTCACCACGGCACAACAAACTGTCTCATGGGTGGTGGGCCACAACAATAGCAACAATAAAAATGACAAAAACAATGATAGTGGATAGTCATTGTGTGCCAGCTGCCATTTTTGGCCCAGTCCATGTATTCACTCATGGGAGTAGGAAACTGCCATTCCCATTCTAGAGATGAGGAAACTGAGGCCCAAGGAGTTTAGGCCACTTGGCCAAGATGGAGCTGGATGCAAGCTCAGGTGGTTTAGGCCTGAGTGCACAGGCTGACTACCTGGCCACTTTGCTCTTGCTAGGCTGGCCCCCTCATTTCATCTTTATGGCAGTCCCATGGCATAGCTGGTAGGTTCTTTGATAGATGAGGAAATGGAGGCTTGAAGTGAGGGCAGCCTGCCCTGGGCCACCAGTGAGCCAGAGAAGTGCTGGCCAGGGGCTCAGAGCTTCTAGTCAAAGACCCAGTGTCCTTGGGCTGTGCTGCATGTAGGAGCTGACGAGGTCTCTGGAGTGTGAACCTGGCACCCTGACCTGTATGCCGGCCTGCCCTCAGCCTCCAGCCCCTGCCCTGTGGGCACCCGTTTACCTCGGGACTCTCCCCACCTGAATGTGGAGCTTTAGAACAGGGGGCCCAGCCCAGCACATACCGGGAGGCCGGACAGGCCCATCTCGCCTGCTTCCCCTTTGGGTCCAGTCAGCCCGGGCTCTCCGGGCTCTCCTTTTGGTCCTTTGGGACCCTGAGAACCACAAGAACAAACAGTCAGTGGGCCTCACAGGCATTCTCCCTTCCCACCCTGGTGGGCCCCATAGCTGAATCTCAGCCAGGTTAGCCAGACCCCCATTTCCCTCTTGGGAAACCAGGTGGCTGGAACCTTAGCTGAATGCACCAGGGGCCTGGATGGAGACTGACATGTGTGCCCCATCCCTGGCTCACTGTATGGGGCAGGGGACTGGGGCAGTCATCTTGGGGGCACTCCTGGGGCTCACCTCTGTGCTACCATCTCAGGAACCAGCAGCGGGAGTCCCCACCCCCAAACAGCCACTGCATCCTTTCACTCAGCCAATTATTTAACACCCACTATGTGCTGTGGACTAGGGACCCAGCAGTGTCAGGTGACACCCGGGGACACTCTTAGGTCTACACAGGATTCCACCCACACATATGATTATAACAACGACAGCAATACATTTGCTAACAGTTGTATTTGCTGATGTGTGCCAGGCACCACTTTAAGTGTTTTACACACATGGAGTTATTTAGTTCTCACAGCCCCATGGGCACCCTCCCCTCTGAAGGAGAAGCCTGAGGCTGCAGGAGAGAGTGCGTGTCTACAGCTAGGATGCACCCACAGGCGGCCTGCTGCAGAGCCCATGTTTTTACCTCAATGCCCCCGCCCTCTCACTCACTGGGGCCTCCCTCTAGTGCTGCACACATGTGCGCGCACACACACACACACACACACACACACACACACACACGCTGCCCACTCTAGGCACCAGCACCACCCCAGGAAGCAGAGGCCCAGAGACCTTCTCTCCATCGATTCCAGGGGCACCGGGCAGTCCCAGCTCTCCCTAGAAGGGAACAGACAGGAAGAGGAGTGTGGTCTGCCGAGGCCCCAGAGGGATTTGTGGCCCGGGGCATGGGCCGATGCCCCCCCCGCCCCCCACCATGGCACACCGTTCCTGGGCTAGGTCTGTGGGCAGAAGCTGCATCCCTGCAGTTGGACCTCCAGGAAGGTGCCCACAGGTGCAGAGCCCCATGCTGGTGCTGGCTACTCCCCTCCCTCCACCTCCTCAGCTGCCTTTCGGGCAGCTGCAGGCTACAGGAATAATCAATCTATGGGCTGCATGGCACAGATTTGGGAGCTGAAGCTTGAGAGTTAAATGAGTTGCTCCAGGCCACACAGTGTGGGAATGAGGTGTCAGGGCCAGACCCTGCCTGACTTCCAAGCCTCAGGATCCTTATCCTGCAAAAAGTGGGCAGAGAATGAGTGGGTCTGCCAATAGGAATGGCGATGTCAATGTATGGGACTGCCGTGATGTCATGAGGGGCTGATTTATGAGGTTAAACATGTGAATGTGGCTTTCCAGGGAGTAGCCAGGGCCCAGGAAGAGGGCACTCAGCTTGGTTAGGAAGGAGGCTCCCAGAAGCCAGGCCAGGATGTCAGGAGAGACAAAGGGAGGCAACATGGAGGAGAGGGTAGGGGAGACAAGGCATGTGGGGACCACATAGCTGCATCTGCACTGACCTTGGCTCCAGGGATCCCTGGTGGCCCTGGGGGCCCCTGTGGCCCAGGAGGACCCTGTGTACAAAAGTCAAGCTGATTGGTACTGAGGCTGGGCCTCCCCATCACTGCCATCACCCCTCCTCCCGGGGGGCCAGGTTCCTGCCCAGTTGGGCTGCAGCAGGATTCCAGAGCCCTGGTAGCCGCACCCTCTCAGGTCAGGTCACTCTGCACATCTTCTTGGTCTGGTCCCTGTCTTGTGGGAGCACAGGGAGGCAGCAGTAGCCATTGGCTAAATAATTACAGTGAGTGCTGCCCATGTGGGGCCCAGTGTCCCTCTGCCCTCAGAACCAGTCTGCCCCAAATATACATTTCTTCTTAGCACTCCCCTCCTCAAGAGCCTACGATGGCTCCCCATTGCCTCTCGAAGCAAGCTATAATCCCCGGTTGGCCAGCCAAAAATCTTATCCCCACCAGTCGCCCTCTCTGCCTCTGTGGGAGCCCTCTGACTACTCCTGGGCCACCTGCATTGGTCCCAGAGTTCCTCTGTTTCACTACTAGGGGAGGAGGTCTTCCGTGTCCGAGGTTTGACTCCACTCCGAGCTCCCCTCTGACCAGGCTTCCTGCAGGTTCACCATCAGCCCCTGTTCTACACTTCCCCCCCACCCAAGGATGGCCCAGCATCCCTCTACTCTCAGTCCCCAAACTCATGCCCTTCCCTAAGGCCGTACCCCTGCCAGTCCCCAGCCTGCAGGTTCTGGAGCTCTCCTCTCGCCAGTCTGCCTTCCTTCATGTTGGCATCTCCACAGACATGTACTCAGCTTCACTGTACTTTCTCCACTCCATCCACCCCTCCTCTAGGCCCAAGCCCAGCTCCTACCTCCTGGGTGGCCTCCCTGCTTCCAGCTCTCCCCCTTGGCCACTGTTGTTCACCTTTCACACCATTCCCCAGCTAGTCTTCCACCAATACAATTTTGTAAAATATCACTCCTTTGCTCAGGAACCAACTACGGCTCCTTACCACCCATCAAATCGAGCCATCATCCCAGCCTGGCATCCATCATCTGTGCCCCAGCCTCCCCTGGGTACACAGAGCTCCGCCCGAGTGGCCCCCAGCCGTCTGGACACACCATGGACTGCGTGTCCACTCGGGGCCATGCTACACCATGCAGGCCTGGGTGGGCCGTAGTTGCTGTCAACTTGTACTCCCCTGTGGCCTGAGGGAGAGAGCTGGGATTGAAGCTCAAGTGGAGGCCATGCAAATGCCTCCCATCTGCTCTCTGAGAGCCCGGGGAAACTTGAAGAGCTGGCACCAACATCTCCACTGGGGGTGGGGCCTGAGGACACCAGTCGCTGGGCAGGGTCAAAGGCTACATACCTCCTGGGGTCCTGGAGCAGGTGTGTCACTCTCATGCACACCCCAGTAGTCACTAGAAGACCCAGGAAGGCCCAAGGAAGCCCCACTGGGACTGGAGACCAGGGACGGCCTGAGGGTGTGCTTCCCTCTCTGCCATGGCCTGGGGGGCTCAGCCCTCTTAGTCTTGTGTGGGTCTCACACAGCACTGATTTCCTGCTGCCCAGTGCTGCCTTATCAGGCAGCTTGAGAGGTTGGGTCTTTGTGCTAAGCTGCCCCCTGCCCCTGTGTAAAGAAGTGCGGGACTAATATACAAAGTCAGTAATGAGTCCCTAAGGAAATGAACAACCCACATATCCTGGTCTGCCAGGGACTCTACCTTAAGGGCATCCAAGATCCTGCCATCGTAGTCAATGACCACCGTGTCTCCTTGCTCACCCTTGAGGCCTGGCAGACCCTGTGGCAGGAAGAAAACCAAGAGTTTCAGGGAATAGCTATGTTGGGGGGGCAGTGGCCAGCCTGTTTCTGTCTCCACTCCCACAGGGGAGGCCGACAGGGGAGCCCCCACACCCTTGTGCACGTGTGTGTGGTCACCAATGTGCACCCAGCTCAGATGGGCCTGGTGGACCCCTCTCACATTCCTTCTTGGCACTTGCTCCCAAGCTCACTGATAAAATGCCCGCAGGGGTCACGCAGGTAGGCCTCATGCCAACTGAGGAAGATGTTGCACCCTGCCTGGTCTGGAGGGTGATGAATGATTCGCTTTCATGTGGGAATTCAAGTTCACTGAGGCTCGATCCTTGAGTTTCAAAAAAAAACTAGAAATCTCATTTTTATGTGAAGTTCTTCAGCTTTTAAATGTTGGCAAACCCCCCACAAAAATCCTCCAGAACATCGTGTAAGCCCAACAAAAGCCATGTGAAGGCTGGATCTTGCCGCCATTTTACAACCTCTGGCAGAGGCTGCACAAACCGCACGCTAACATTGTCATTCATTCTTGGGGCGTGTCCATCCTGGCACGGCACCGTAGGTCCAGGCACGCCCTCACTGGTGACCCGCCCAGCCCTCCCCTTCTGAACCTCACTTCACTACCCAGGCTGATTTTTGTCAGGAGGAAAGTGAGAAGCTGTGAGTGTTTTTGTTCAGGCCTGAGCGTCACCTGCCAGCTGCCCACCTGGGTACTGCTGGTCTTTGTGGAATTGTGTTGTTTGTGAGGAACTCCCATACTCAGCACCTAGTCTAATCCCCAGCCGCCTGCACAAGCAGGCTGTGGGCTTAGAGCCTTTTTTTGGAGGAGGAAACCAAGGCTCTGGGAACATGAAAGTACCTGACTGCTTGAGGTGACAGCTGGGAACAGGATCCCAGATGCCGACGTAAACGTACATTAACCAAACCAAAAACCAAACCCACAGCTGTCGATTCCAACTCATAGTGACCCCATGAGATAGAGTAGAACAGCCCCTTAGGGTTTTCTTGGCTGTGATCTTTACAGAAGAAGATCACCAGATCTTTCTTCTGCATTGCTGCTGGTTGGGTTCAAACCATCAACCTCTAGGTTATTAGTTGATAGCAAACTGTTTGTGCCACCCAGTAACCTTAAAGGTACCTTAATAGGGGCTGGTTAAAAATGATCTGGGCCCAGCCACAAGATAGAACCTGGTGGCTGTGCTTCCAGCAACAGGGACGAAGCTTGGTGTGGGGTCAAAAAAATGGTACGCACAAGGCTAGGTGTAGGACAATGCCATATAGGACTAATCAAGGACCTAGGTTTGAATATGCAGAGAAGAGTCTAGAAGGGCATACACTCAGCTAGGGAGGGAGGAGAGAAGGGAGAGGTTGGGGCTCTTAATTTTTACACATCCTTACTTTGACATTTTACAAAATGCATGTATTATGAAATTAAAGACAAAAATCACTAATGAATTCTAAAAAAAAAAAAGGACTCCTGTTGTAGCTTCCCTGCTCTGGGCTGCCTCCCCTAACCTCCTCTGGAGTCTTGGTGGGAACAGGGGCTTCTGAACCTATGGGACCCAAAGGGAGGCTGCTTACCCGGGGCCCTGTGGCTCCATCTGCACCTCGGTGGCCAGGGTCCCCCTGTGGAGACAAGCAGTTGCAGCTACCTGAGTGCCTAGCCAAAGCTGAAGGCTTCCCACCCCGACTCTGCCCCACACTCACTCTTCCCCAAAAGGCCATGTGCTGGAGCCCTAATGGCCCCATTTATGTGAATGATACCCAAGCAAAGGGACTTCTGGGGCTTGTGGGAGGGATGCCTCAGTGATCCTCTCCTCTGCTCCACATTATATGGAGAGGGGGACACTGAAGCCCAGGAGGTTCCACCCCTTGCCCAAGGATCCCTGGTAGGTTAGCAGCAGAGCTGGGCCGGATGGAGGCCTCCTCGCTCACCTGGATTCGCTGCCACCCACCCCAGGCCAACTCTGACTGGGAGTGCAAGGGGACTGGCCTCGCCCAGACTCTCCACTTAAAAGGGTCTGAGGAGAGCCTGCAGGCACTGTGTAGCACACTCTAGGTTACCTTTGGGCCTGGGGTGCCGTCCATGCCATTCTTTCCTTGGGGCCCCATGCTCCCTGGCTCGCCCTGAAACAGAGACATTCACGTGAGAAGGAGCACCTGGGCCTGCCTCTCGAGTGAGCCTCCTGGCAGGGTTAGGGGGGACCTCAGGGCTCTCCCATTCCCGGGTACTCAGGTACAGCCATCACCTTCCGGTTTGGGTCTTGGCAGAGTTGGGGTAGCTCAGGGGCTCATTCTGGAGGCAGGTTGGCCAGGATTTGGTGGCTGTTTTGAGGGGTGAGGAGGAGTGTGGAGCGAGGGCAACACCCTAGTTCCTGGTTTGGGAACAGGTCAAAGTGTGGGGCCACTTGAGATGGGACCCAGGAGGACCTGAGGGTGTGGGAGGGTGAGTGGCCTGGATGGGACATCAGCCCATTGGTGATGGAGCAGGCCCAGGCCCTCCTGCTGCTTCTCCCTGGCCTGCCCTGGGCACCAGCCCTCGCCCCATGCCTGGAAAGGGCCCAGGAAATGGACTTTAGAGTTACACGGGACCCCTGAGAGGTGGAAGGCAAGGAACTGATGGGGGAGGGGCATGCACCTACCTTGGACCCTGGGGGTCCGGGAGGCCCTGGCTGGCTTGGTGTCCCATCATCCCCCTGAAGAGAGAGCAGCTGAAGCCACAGCCCTTGGCCTGGGACACCCCCTTCAGCTGGGACACCCCTGGCACAGGCCTCCCCCAAGCGGTTTTCAGAAAACCCGGGTGAGGAGCAAGGGATGGGGGACAGGATCCCATCCTGAACAAAGCTGCTTTTCCCCACTGTGACCTTTCTCCAGTCAAACCAAAAACTCAAACCCACTGCTGTCAATTCGGACTCATAATGACCCAGTAGAACTGCCCCATAGGGTTTCCAAAGAGTGGCTGGTGGATTCGAACTGCTGACCTTCTGGTTAGCGGCCAAGCTCTTAACTACTACACCACCAGGGATCCTTCTCCAGCCAAGAACCATGCTTTTCTCCTCAAAAACCTTCTGTGGCTCCCCATTGCCCACTGCCTCAACTCCTCCATCTGGCATTCGGGCCCTTCATGACTGGTCCTCAGACCTCTCTGGCCTCATATTCTGTCCCCACCCACTCCCCACAGGCCAGGTCCCGGCTGTACCCGACTGTTCCCTGCCCTACTAACAGGCCAGCTTACGCCATGCCTCTGCACCCTTGCACATGCTGTTCCTTCTGCCTGTGCTGCCCCCTCCTCCCATCCTACTCAACTCAAATGCCTCCTACTGTGGGGGACCTTCTCGAACCTTCTGGTGGTCAGCTAGTCCCTCCCCTCTCTGGACTCCCCAGCACACCAGCCCACTCTTGGTACCAGCGCCTATCACACTGGGCTGGGGTGGCTCCCCCTTCCCTCTTCGCCCCTCTAGAGCAGGGGTGGGGTCCCAGCCATCTCTGTCCCTCGCCCCCACCAGTCCAGTGCTCAGCAGGTGTTTGCAGAATGAACAGATGGACAGGTGAAGGAGAGAGTGAATTCATTCATTCAGTCAACAAATATTTTGTGAAAAACCCCTGCAGGCCAGGCAGGTGAGGTCCCTGCTCAGATGGAGCTGGTATTCCTGTCAGAGGAGGCTAATGGAGAAGAAATATTCCAATAGATACATAGCGCATGTCAGTAAGTAGAGTAAGTATCTGGAAGAGAATATCAGAGGATGGCGGGATAGAGAGGGATTTGGGGAGGGCATGTTTCTGTCAGTGGACTGGGAAAGGGACAGTTTCACTGGGACGTGTATGAGGAAAAGGTCAGGCCATGGGAAGAGGTGGTGAGGACTACTCCAGTTCAGTGGTCCCCAAACCTGAACTAACATCACGATCACCTGGAGGGCCTGTTAAACATAGATCGCTGGCCCCACCCCCAGAGTTTCTGATTCACTAGAGCTGGGTGGGCCTGAAAACTTGCATTTCTAATAGGCTCCCAGGTGATGCTGTTGCTGCTGGTCTGGGGACCACATTTTGAGAACCATTGTCCTTAGCCCTGAAGTGGGAACAAATTTGATGTGTTTGAAGACGGCAAAGAATGAATGAATGAGTTAATAAATGAACACGTTCCTGGCCTCCTTGAGCCATAAGACAGGACAGCCACCTTGAAGCACACCCAAACCACAGCAAGGACTTGGGCCTGGTGAAGAAAAGGGAGCCTTCCCCATAGGGTGGCCACATTCTCACCCCCCTCCCCCAGAGTCTGCCCTTCTCACCAACCACTTCCTGCCACCCCAGCCAAGAAGCTTCTCCACAGGGTCCCCTCACCTTTTTTCCAGGAATGCCGGGCTCACCCTGAGGGGAGACAACGGGGCACAAGAGAGGTCAGAGTCACTGGAGGGTGGCCCGGACCCCAGGCCTCCTGCTCCTCTGGGAGAAGTGGCACTGAATCCCCACACTCACGGCCAGCCCAGAGACCGCCGGACCCTCAGAGACTCTTGGATTCCTCTCCTGAGTACAGTCACTCCCAGGTCGGAATGACCCTGGGCAAATCACTTGTCTTGACAATGGGGCTGTGTGCGGGTTAGAGACAGCACATTGAAAGGCCTTGTCTTGTGGTAAGTGCGCAGTTCGTGGAGCTCCTTCCCCTCATTCCCCCTTCCTCAGTCCCGGGCTCTGGCTCCTCCATGGAGGACCAAGGCCCCCCTTCCCACCCCAGCAGGCGCTGCTCAAGGAGGGAGGAAAAGAGAGAGCTAATATCTGGAGAGGGCTTTAAAAGCTGACATGTTTTGAAAACATTATGATGAGTGAAATAAGCCAGACACAAAAGGACAAATATTGCATGATCCCACTTATAGGAAATGTCTAGAAAAGGCAAATGGATAGAAACTAAAATTTATTAGAGGTTACCAAAGGCTAGCAGTGGGGGAGGAGAGAATGGGGAGTTATTGCTTAAGGGTTATTGAGTTTCTCTTTGGGCTATGAAAAAGTTTTGGAAATAGATAGTGATGATGGTTGCCGGATATTGTGAATATACTTAATGCCACTGAATTATACACTTAAAAATAATTAAGAAGGCAAATTTTATAATGTTTTACTGCAAAATTGAAAATAAAAAAGCTAACGTGTTTGATTATTCTACCCTCACAACCTTGTCTGAAGATAAGGAAGGGTTTATCATGCCCCCATTTAACAGATGAGCAAACTGTGGCCCAATGAGATGAAGTAACTGGCCTGAAGGACTCAGTTAATGTAGAGCTGGGACTGGAACCTTGTCTCCTAACCTTGCTGCCTTGGCCTCAGTGGTGGTGGTGAGGGAGCCCACTCCCACCCAGGCCTGGGAGGGGGATGGGGAGTGAGGAGTACTAACCTTGGGCCCTGGGGGTCCTTTTGGGCCCTGGAAGAACAGAAGAGAAGGTGTTAAACATCATACTGAAGGCAACTCCTGGGCCTGTCTTTATTATGATCCTCTTTTGATAAAGGGGGAAACCAGGTCCTGGGGAGGCTGAGGCAGGGCTATCTTGGGAACTGGGATTGTGCTGCCAGCTCTCAGCCTGACTCCCGGGGGCTTGGGAAGCTCTGCTGTAGATCTCAAGTAGTGAAAGGTGGACTGCAGACTCCCAAACAGGATCCTGCCAGGGCTGGCACCTCGCCCACCCATTTCCCCACCACTCACAAGGTGGGAGGGGGCAGAAAGGGGGGGGACACACACATGCATGCCCACCCAGTCCCTGGTGGGTGTGTGTGGGCAAGGGGCTTCCGTGCCTGGGAACCACGGTGTGCCAACTCGGGCCTCTGAAATGCCCTGAATACTGACCATCTCGCCTTCTTGTCCGGACTCTCCTTTGGGGCCCTGGGGAGGCATAAGATGTTAGCAATGAGGGGATGCAGGGGTTTACATTCACTGAGTCGAGGCTGCGTGCCCAACCCTGGGCTGGGGCTCTAGGCACATGGGCTCACTTCCTCCTCACCAAAACCCCAAAGCGCAGATATAATATTATTGTCCCCATTTCATAAGTGAGAAAGCTGAGGCTCAGAGTTTCCATGGGGAATGGATGAGCCAATTGAGCAGCTGCCCTGAGATGGGCCCCCTGGTGGCAATTGGGTGGAAGTGCTGGCTCTGCATTGGATGGGAAGGACAGGTTGACTCCAACATGGGTTAGGAAAGCGGTAGAAGGAGGTTTGGGCTTCAGGGTTTGGAGTGGGAATATGAGAGAAAAACTGATGCTAACAAATAAGTATTGAGGAGAGAGAGAGCCACAGAGATCGAGACACACACACACACACACACACACACACACACACACACACACACACACACAGGAATAGGAGTTAGTAAAGACCTGCAGAGAAAGTACCCATGTATGGGTCTCAGGGTCAGGATCAGGGTTGAAACTGCAACTAAGATCAGCGTTAGGGTCTATTGGGGTTAGGGTGTTGACGTTAGAGTTGAGTTTAGAGTCAGGGTCAGGGTTGTGTCTGGAAAATAGTCTGAATTAGGGGTATGGATCAGGATTTGGGACTGAGTTTGGGGTCAAGGTCTAAGGGTTACATTTAGGATTAGGGTTGGATTTGGGTTAGGGACCTGGTTAGTGTTAGATTTAGGGTTTGATTGGGGGAAGGGTCTGGGTTGGGGTTAGGGTTAGGATTGGGATTGAGGCTGGGGTCAGGGGTAGGATCTGAACTGGGGCTGGGTTGGCTCTTGGGTTAGGGTCTTGGGTTTTCGTAGGTGTAGGCCCAGGTCATGGGTAGTCCAACTCCATGCCCTTTCTTACCGCTGGGCCTTGTGATCCCCTGGGGCCATCTTTTCCAGTGTCGCCAGGAGGGCCCCGGGCTCCAGGGGGCCCAGGAGGCCCTGGGGGCCCATCAGCACCATCTTGCCCTTGGTCTCCCTGTAAGACATGGGACCTGGTATGACTTTGAAGGGGAGGGGAAGGGGCTTCAGCCTCCAAAGAGAGGCTTCCTCAGATGGGCAACCTCTATACCTTCCCCAGCCTTGGGGACAGGCTTAAGGGGCCAGACTTTGTCTTTGGGCTTCTTGCTACTTCTTGGTGGCCACACTAAGGTGCAGGTCCCTATACTTTGGTGTGAGAGGCCAACAGGAGCTTTCTCACTCCAATGAACATGCCAAGTCTCCAGCTTGCTAGTGCCTGATGCCCCAGATGCCACATCCTGGATGTGGAAGAAAGCACATGTGCCCAGCCAGGCCCCAACTTTCCAGAAAGGGGACCCTGCTCTTCCTGAAAGACCATGCTAGCTGGTCAACTCCTGTTCTCTCAGGCATTTATCCTAGAGAAATGAAAACCTATGTTCCCACAAAAGCCTCTACACAAATGTTTATAGAAGTTTTATTCATAATAGCTACAAGTTAGAAAGGGCCCAGATGTCCTTCAACAGGTGAATGGTTAAACCAACTGTGGTGCATCCACACTATGGAATACTACCCAGCAATAAAAAGGAATGAACTATTGATACACACCACACCTTGGATGGATCTCAAGGGAATTATGCTGAGTGCAAAAAGCCAGTCTCAAAAGGTAACATACTCTATTATGCCATTTACATAACATTCTTGAAGTAACCAATTTACAGAGATGGAGAACATACCAGTGGTTGCCAGGGGTTAGGGAGTGGGGAGGGAGGGAGACGGCTGTGGCTATAAAAGGGTAGCATGAGGAATCTTTGTGATGGTGAACTGTTCCGAATCTTGACTATGGGGTGGTTACACAAATCCAGATGTAATAAAAATTGCATAGAACTAAACATACACACACTAGCGAGTGCATGAAAAACTAGTGAAGTCAGACTAAGGGTGGTGAAGTGTATCAATGTCAACTTCCTGGTTGTGAGATTGTACTACAGTGATATAAGATTTTACCATTGGGGGAAGCCAGATGAAGGGTACCTGGGATATTATTTCTTACAATTGTTCGTGCATCTAATAATTAACTGGAAATAAAAAGTAAAAAAAAAAAAAAAAAAAAAGCAGTGGAGGCTAACTAACACAGTCTCTGTCATGCAGCCCCAAGACCCCAACCTTCTGACCCATGTTAGTACCAGGTCAGACCTCAGGCAGCCAGAGCCCTCACCTCCCGGAGGAAAGGCCATGGCGGGACTGGCCCCGCACTGCTGCCCCTGCAGTGCCTGCCCAGCACTGGCACAGGTGCAGGAATGGGGCAGGCTGGGCCACAATTTCCACAGTCCCCCACCTTCTTGTAAGGAAGAAGACTTTTGTGGGCCCAGCCCCTGCCATTGCCACCCTGAGCGGGCCAGGCCTTCTGGGAGGTTTTCTAACTTAACCTCCGTGATAACTTGTGGGTGCTGTCATGGTCCCATTTTACAGCTGAACTGCTAGGGGCTCAGAAAGGGAAATCATTTACCCAGGGCTACAGAGCTAGGGGAGCTCTAGGTGGCCAAACAGTTGGTGCTCAATCACTGACCTAAAGGTTGGTGGTTTGAACCCACTTGCTTGGTAAGGTAGAGTGTCAGCGAAAAAAAGGAAGACCCTCAACAAGATGTATTGTCACAGTGGCTGCAAGAATGGGCTCAAGCATAACAATGATTGTGAGGATGGTGCAGGACCAGGCAGTGTTTCGTTCTGTTGTACACAGGGTCGCTATGGGTCGGAACTGACTTGATGGCACCTAACAACAACAACAGCAGTGCCTCAGGAGAAAGGCCTGGTGATCTGCTTCTGTAGAGATCACACTCTGGAAAACCCTATGGAGCACTGCTCTGCTCTGACACACATGGGGCTGCCATAAGTCAGAATTGCCTTGACGGCAAGAAGCTACAGAGCTAGGAAAGGCAGAGCCCTCCTCTGGCCATGAAGGCAAGTGGCCTCTTTTAGACCCCTTTTAAATCCATGACCCTGATATGAAAGAATTCAGCTCTCTAGAAAACTGCACCTACCAATGAATGCACGTCTTTTCCCAATTAAAAAGTCAGCTAAAGCGCTAAATGTCCACCATCAGACCTTCTGATGAGTCTGAAATGGCCAGGGTCCTGACCAAAAAAAATATAACTGCGGCCAAAAGGAAAGAAAACTGACAGTTCGTTTGGGTCACGAAGACTTGAGGTGGGGGTGGGGGTGGATGATTCCCACTTCATTTTACAGAGTATCAGGAGTAATTTGAAGATACCCCTAACTCTCATTCCCTGCTCCTTTTACAGCCCAGGGGCCCCAGGTAGGGAACGACTGGCCTGGACACTACTTATTAAGGCAGAAAATGGATGGAGACATGTGGGCAGGTTCTAGGAGAGGTTCTTAGGTTCTTCCCCCAAGTTGCTTGGAAAATGAGGCCAGCCAGCCACCTCCTTCTCCTGTAGGGACCGGAAGGCTGAGGTCTACCTTGTAGATGTAGGGGTGAGTCAGGGGAACACAGCACACCAGTAGACACGCTATGAGGCCAGTCTACCTTGAGGATGCGCAGATTGTACACATGATGATCTCTACTTATAAATCCCGGATGGAGCCATGGGAAAACCATCTGGTCAGGCAAACAGGTGGTGTGGTCAGAAAGGCAAAAGGGTGGTTTAGAAAGCCACAGATTACTTCTGGAGGCAAAGTCAGATGACCTAGCTCAGGGAAACCAGCTTGGTGATTGAGTGTGGCCAACTATACAAAGATGGCCAGTATACCAGCTGCTATCCTACAGGCTCTTCTGCAGTGCGGCTTCGCCTCTCCCCACATGAGCTGGGTTTGCTTTTCTGCCCTTCGCATGTGGGTGGACCTTGGGACTGAGTTGACAGGGAGAATACAGTGTAAGCAATGCTGGGTTCACTGTAGCTGGACAGCTCCTGCCTCTTGGACGCTCCCTCTAGGAGCCCGGCCACCGTGCTGGGAGAAGCCTGAGCGCCGTCGAGACACGTGTGGCTGATCCCCAGCTGAGTGCCCCCCAACAGCTGGCCAGTTAAGGGCGCCATCATCCTGGATGCCAATGGGCTGAACTTCAGAGGACTCCAGCCCCAGGTTCCATCTGCCTGCAACCACATGAGAGATACCAGCCAGCCAGCCGGCCCAGAAGGCAAGGGAAATCATGATAAATCAGTGTTTTAAGTTTGACTTCACAAAATCTCAGCGGCTTTCTGTGGCCCTGGCCCATCCTGTAATCCAAGGTCCAGCACGGAACACCTCTGTCTTCGGGGGCTCAGACAGCCCCCCTATGATGTAGGCTTGACTGTTCTCATTCCATAGAACCTGGGCTCAGAGAGGGGCATAGGTTTGTCCTGGGTCACAGAGCCGAGAGGTCACTGAGTGCGGCAGGCGCCCAGCCCAGGCTCTCTGCACTGTAGCCCCACCTTCCTCTGTTCCCCCTCCCCCATTTATAGTGTCCTCCTCAGGGCTCAGGCTGTTTCAGGCAAGTGCCGCCTACAGAGGCCCACTCGTTTCAGCCTTGCACCATTCAAACATGCTCACCCTAGGCTACGCTTTCCACCCACAGCCTTCCTAAGAACTGGGGGGGAACGTCACTTTCCAGCTGTTGTGCAGTGGGTCGCACCCCTCAACCTCTGCAGTCAGGCCTGCTACAACTCTCTGGGTGGGGCTGTGTGGACATGGCGGGGCCACGTGTCCAGGTCCACTTAAGTGACCCCCTGCCAGGACCCACGGTGCTGGGCCCACCCGAGGATCTGCCTCCCATTTGGGACCCTCCACTCTGTGCTAGTTCCTGTGTTCCTGGGCTGGAGGTCAAGGGCTCCTAGTGCTGGGGGCGGAGGGCAGTGGGTGGGCTGAGAAGAGACTCAGTCCATGGTTCCATGCTGGGGGCTCCAATTAGTCTTCACGACAACCGTTTAGGGAAGTGGTTGTCACCCCCTTTCAAATTGAAGAAACTGAGTCTCGGGGGGTAAGCAACTTGCTCAGGGCCACTTGACTGGCTAGTGGCAGAGCCGAGCATTGGGGTCAGGCCTGCTGACCCCAAAGTCTTCACTCTTCCTAGGGGCCAGCTGCCCTTAGGAAGGTCAGGCTAATCTATGTCTACTTGTCCTCGGTGATCAGCATGACCAGGATATCCTGCCAGAGACCCCTCATCTGTGTGTGGGGTGGGGTGCAGCTTTAGCCAGACTGAGATGCCTGGGGCTTCTATACAGTGGCTGCTTAACTGAAAACAGGCAGCAGGACAGAATCTGGGTGGGAAGCAGGGGCGGCCTCACTCACAGTTTTCTGTGATAAGTTACAGGAAGCTAGGATCCAGAAGAAACTCTAGTATGTTTTATTATAACATAAAACACACTGTGTAAAAGGTGAAGGGGCCATGCTCAGTTCTTACCCGGGGGCCAAAGTCTCCTGGTGAACCCTGGGGACATAAAACAGAGACACGTCACCACACAGTCTCACTAAACTCTAACAAAAACAACAGGTAGGCCATAGCTCTATTTTTATCTCCATTGTACAACGAGGAAAAACTAAGGCTCAGAGAGGTTAAGGGACCCACCCAAGGTCACACAGCTAGCAGATCCAGGGCTTGAAGCCAGGTGTTTTGTTATCTATTGCCAGCCCCAAGCCATTTGAGGCCCCAGACATAGTAGAGCAGAGACGAGCTGCTCCCAACATGTCCTCTGAATCCCTCAACCTCAGAACAGTGAGAGATAGTAATGATAATGGTTGTTTAAGCCACGAAGTTTTGGGGCAGTGTGTTATGCAGCAATAGATACCAAGACAACATTTCTCTCTGGTTTTGAAGACCCTGGCTTCATTGTTTCTCTGACGGGGGGCATCAGCCAGGAGCAGCAGGAAGGTAATCATTACACCACCACCTGCACAAGGGCTTATCCTGTACAAAGAACACTCAGACCATTGCCTCATGGAGCCTTCCCTGTGGCTCTGTGAGGCTGGCTTTAATTTACAGATGGGGAAGCTGAGGCCCATGAAGCCGAGGCGATTGCCCGAGGCTACAAGGTTGGTGGTGGAGCTGGAAGGCAGACTTGAGACTCTGAACACCAAATCTGGCGTCATTCTCACTGCTTCATCACGTACAGTGTGTGCTGGAACCCTGCCTGCCCTACCTACCCAGGCCGTATCCCAGCGGGCTCCACTACATACGGTTCTCACTGCCCCGTTTCCAAATCCCAGGTCAGGGGTGGAGGCGGCCCAGCCCTAGACTGGAAGTGCCCGGTTAGCCTGCTGCACCAAACTCTGCTCCAGCCTATGGGAGCACAGTGTCCCTCCCTCCCCTGACCCCATTGTGGGACCCCACTCTCCTCCCTCCTGCTCCCTTCCGGGGCCATCAACTATCCCAGCCCTCCAGAGGGCTGCCCGTGACATTGAGTGTCAAATGTTGCCAGGGTCTGCAAACATCCCAGTGGCAACTCTCTGCCATCTGTTACCCTGAAGGGTGTCCTTCCCACAAAGGATACCATTAACAGTCATTTGTCAATCCTGCAGGCTCTCCTGGTGCCTCTATTTCATGTTCAATTACTTTGGAAACTTGTCATTTGGGCAGACTGTGCCTTTGGGTTTTGTTATACTCTGGTGCCAGGAGAACTCAGGTTTAACACTCGGGGCACTTTCTATGATCAAACGAAGCCTTATAACCATTTTAGGGGATGGGCACGATTAGCCCCACTTTACAGATGGGGAAAGTGGGGCTCTAAGAGGGAATGTGACTTGCCTAAGGTCATACTCCTGAATGTGGATTTTTAAGGCAGTTGCTGGGATCCTTCATTAGCCAACCGTACTTGGACAGACTCCAGCATCTCTTACCTTTTCCCCTTTGGGGCCTGGAAGTCCCTGGAGAAGGAAGGTGGAGAAAACACAGGTGTGAGTAAAGAGGACTAGGCTGGCTGCCCTTGCAGTTTCCCTGAGGTTTGGAGGGCAGAAGGGCCTGGGACTCTGAGCAGAGCTGTGGGCAGCCTTGTGGAAAGTTATACACAAGCTGGGAGCCCTTGTGGCCCCAAGGCAGGCTCACACCTCAGCCCTCAGCATGAGCGAGATGGGGGACTTGGAAGTTGCCAGCAAGGGAAAGGAGCATTTTTCTCAGTTAGCACACGAGCTAGTCACTACTCCCAGAGCACAGCATCCCCCATGCTCCGTACCACCCATGAGCCCACGAGTCCATGGGTAGGTAGACTGAAATCCTGTTTTGAGACCCTCTGTGTCTGGTGTGTATGTGTGGAGTGGGGAGCGGCTCCATGCAGGCCATGGTGGCTGCAGTCACTCTGGCTGTAGGGAAACATGTCTCTCTCAATCCTGCCAAGTGACCAGGCTTCTGGGGAAGAAGGTCAGGCCCCACGGGGGGGGCAGGCTGGGGCCAGCCAGCTTGGGGCCGGCATGCTGAGTCAGGAACTGACCTGCTTGCTGGCCTCCATCCCTGCAGAACCATCTATCTTCCTTTCAGCCAGTAACTGATTTGCTCATTCATTCATTAAACAACTCATCTGTCCAGATAATCAGTCCTTTCTTTCCTTCCTTTAATAATTCACAGACCATTAGCCAACTCTTCAATTATTTGTCAATTCATTCATTTCTTCATTCACTTGCCTGCCTAATCACCATGCATTTATCTACCCATTAACTCTCCTTCTCTTCCATGCATCCAATCGTCCATACAATTATTAATTCCATTTGATCAGCCTTCTGTCTTTCCATCCATCCACCCATCCATCTGCCCATTCATCCATCCACCTACCCATCCATCCATTTGTCCATCTATCTACCCATTTGGCCATCCATCTTTCTACCCATCCACACATCCTTCCACCCACCACATCTGTCTATCTACTCACTCACCCATCCATCCCGCCATATATCCTTCCAACCATCCATCTGTCCAACTGTCCGTCCATCCTTCCATCTGTCTGTCCGTCCATCCATCTATCCATATTCAGTTATTTACTTAGTTATGCTTATTCCTTCCTGTCCATCTTATTCATTCTGCTGAGGATGCTTGTGGACCACAGGCTTCTGGTCCATGTTGAGAACTTCCCAGTCCAATGTCCACCATCCACATTTTGAGACTGTTCTGAGGGAAGCTCCACCTGGGGTCTGCTGGGAGGAGCTCGTGATTTTTGAGGGATGACTAGATGCCAGGGACTGTGCTGTCCACAGTCCTCCACAAACTCCATAACATCCTTCTGAGCAAGGCCCATTTGACAGATAAGAAGCCTTGGGCTTAGGAGGTTAAGAGGTCTACCCACCTACAGTCAGCAGGTAGTGGAACTAGATTTGAACTCAGATTTGGCTCTAAAGTAGCTTCTCTCTGTACTGTACCAGGGTCCCCTTCCCTCTGGCACCACACGGTCCCTCCCAGCCCCATAGCGGCTGTCCCATCCCAGGACTGCCTAGAACCACCTGCATCACTTACAGGCTTGCCATCCAGACCCAACGGCCCCTGGAAAGGAGAGAGAGCAAAGGTCACATGTGGAATAGCATTTTTTCAACATTTAATGACCTAGATGCATTTGTGTTGATGAGAAAACAAGGCCTGGTCTGAGTCAGGGGGTCTGCCTGTGCTTCACGTGGACCAGGGTCAGGTGAGGGCATCTGTTGTTTACTGCCCAGAATCCCCTCTGCTGACAACAGAGCTTCATTATTCTCTAAAGATCACCTCTCATCTCAACCCACGAGTGTGGGCAAGGCTGACCCACCCATGGCTCCAGGGCGAGCACATGACCGCGTCCCATCCGCCGGCCAGGTGCATGAGTCAGGGATGAGCACGTGTGCCCCCCTGAGCCAATGAGTGCTATCCTTGAGATTTTCCACTGTGGTGCCTTAAGGGAAAGAGGACTCTTGTCTCCTCATGGGGCTATGCCTGGAGCTCAGGGGGCCACCATGTAGCTTGAGAAAGAGCCAGCAGAGAGGAAAGCAGAGTGGAGACAGAGAGAAAGATGGGGCATATGGCCTGAAGCAGGAACTACCCCTGCACTACCCCTCAGTTTGGAGCTAATACACTTTTCCCTTTAAGCCAGCCTGAGCTGAGCGTCTCTCCCTGGTGACCAGAGTCATGAGGACACAGGCTCCTTCAGTTCCTGGCATTGCTGCAGAAAGGCTTTGAGAAGCCAAATAACACAAGGACATCTCAGGGACATCTGGGCCTCTGTGGTGTCTGCAGAGGGACAGTGACTACTTACTGCCCAGTGGCCCCCACGAGCACCCCTTCATTTGTCCATCCACCCGCTCATTTCACAGAGTCTCGCTAAGCCCCACTTCTGTGCGGGTGGAGAATCCAATGGGGATCCTGCCAACCAGGTCCATCTGGTTCCTGCTAACCTCCTTGTTCTCCCTGCCACCATCTTCCCCTCACCCTATACACCTTACCCCGGACCCCAGCAAACATTCCAGGCAGCCCCCACGTCCGAGCCTTTGCACACATCGCCCACCTTGCTGGCACCCCTTTCTGCCTTTGTGCATCTTCAGTGCCATTACCTCCTCTTCCATGAAGCCCTCTAGGCTTCCCCACTTCCCAGAGTCAGGCCATCTGTCCCTGTGCTCAGCAGGCATTCTAACGTCTGCATATAACACAATGTATTGGAAAGTATGGTCCACACGAGTCTTCCCCACTGGGCTGAGGAAAAGGGTCTGATTGATGTCCCTATGTCTCCAGAGGTTGGGTGGGGTCAGGCACAGATCCTGAGCCTGGTGGTGTGTGCTGAGTCAAACCAAGGACACAGAGCCGGGAAGATAATCCATGTGGAAATACGTGTGATGCTGTGTAGAAGGTGAGCCGGAGGCCAGATCAAGGATCTGCTGGTTCAGAGCAGAGAGCGTGCATGTCCAGCTTTGGGGGGCTGGGAAAGATTAGGGAGCTGCCTTGAGAAAGTAACTACTTTCTTTGGACATAAAAAGTGTGTGTGTGTGTGTGTGTGTGGTGGGGGCAGCATCTCAGGCTGAGAGAAAAGCCCAGGCTAAGGGCTGGAGGGGGGATTTGTAAGGGCCATTGAGCAGAGGGACAGCTTAGGCCTCACATCTCTCACCCACCCCCCAGTCCCCATGCTCTCCCTCTCAGCCTTCACACGGATGTCCCTGTCACACCCTGTGGCTCCACTGGCCCAGCACTGGGGCCCTTCTCTGCCATCCAGCCACCCTGTGCTCCTGCCGTTCTCCATGCTCTCTAACTTCTTCCCCACATTTGCTTGGGCTGTTCCCTCTGCTTGCAATGCCCTTCCCTGCCTTCTCCACCTGGGGGAAGCTGGTGTACTCCTGGAGATGACAGTCATTCCCCTCTCCAGCAGCTGCTCTCTCCTTCTAAGGCTCTGGACACCAGGCTGGGTGGTAAATTGCTGGTGCCCCTGGCTTGACCTCCAGACTGCCCAAGTGGAGGCAGCCAATCTGCCAAGTCCCCAGTCGATGTTTGGGTAGCTACTCTGTGGGAGGCTCAAAGCTAGGGCCTGGCTGCAGGGAACCAGGGTGATTCTGAAAATGGTCTCTGAGGGCTTCTGGTCAGCAGCCTCATGCTGAGCTGGGGGTTTGGAGTCTGGCAAAGGCCTGGGGGCAGGTGAGATCCCCGGGAGAGGGGAAGTGAGGCCATTCCAGTAAGGGAGGTCATACCCCAAGGTGAGGGCCTCAGTTCCTGCCACAAGGCCTGGTGCCGGCCCCACCATCCGAGGTCCCCCAGGGGCTGCCCAGCTGGCTGGCCTCTTCTGTTCAGTTCCAGCCTGGTCCAATCCCGGATCCACACACCCATGTACTCCTCTCTTGGCAGCCTACCCCCACTGCTCTCAGGCCCGCCTGGGGGCCCCACGTACACCACAACCTCCTGGGCCCCTCACCCAGCCCTACCCTCTCAGCTGCCACAACACACACAGGTCCAATACCATTTTGGGTCCCTTCTGAGGGCTCTCCATGGTCCCTGCACTCAATCTTTAATCACCACAGAGAGTCTGAAAGGAAGGTGCTATCATCCTCATCTCACAGAGGAGGAAACTGAGGCCCAAAGAGGGGAGGAGCTCACCCAGGACCATGCAGCTGGAACAGGCCTGGGGCTTCAGTTCTCTGGGCTCTTTGCCCTCAAGCACCTGCCACGGCCTCCGCCTGGATCCCTGGTCCAATCTGCCCCTTCGAGTCCGCCCTCCACACACCTCTGTTCAGTGTCCTTCCTGCTCCCCACTGCCCATGAGCCCCCACCATCTCCGGCAGAGTGTCTGGGCCCTACCCTGTGCGCCCAGCCCTGCGTGTGCCCATGAATCTGCTGAACTGAGCCAAGAGGCAGTGCGGACTTCACCTCATCCTTAAACCTGTATGGATTAAAAATAGATACACTGCAAACCATGATTACAAAGAGATTAAAGCACAGCTTAGAATGAAACAAAGCCCTTTCCTCTGGATGTGCTGGAGGGAGGACACAGTGGGCCCCACAGAGAAATCACCTGGCAGCATCTGGGAATGAGAACTGGCTTCAGGGCCTGGACGGCCTGATGAGTTCAAGGTGCTGGAGCTAAAGGCCGGGACATGAAGGAAGAGACTCCCCAGGGCATGCCCACTACCCGGCCCCGTCATGTCATGCACGCTTGTCCTAGCTGCGCCCTGGGAGCAGGCCCTGCCCCCACCCTGCAGATGAAGGCGCTGAGCCAATGGGTTTGTCGAAGGGCTGGAATGCCTGCATCCTGCGGTGCTCAGGAGCAGGGGTGATGGATGGAGGCCTGGGGCACCTGGGGTGGTGCCTCACAGGCCTTGCCTTTTTCCAGGGGTTCCTGGTTGCCTGTCTCCCGCACTGTGCAGACTCTCCTGGAACAGGTCTCTTTGAATCCTCTCTCACACTGAACCTGTGCCAGAGTCACTTGTACAGAGTGCTGGGTCAGACAGACACCCTTGTTGTGTGACCCTGGGCCAGCTGGTCAGCCTCTCTGAGCCCCAACACGCTCCTCAGTAAAGCAGAGAAACAATAATCGCTTTGCAGGGTTGTTGTGGGGATGAAATGAGAACAGCCCTGAAGTTCAGTAATGGCTCCTTTTGTTCCTCCCTCCACATAAGAGCAAGCTTCCCACCCCTGGGGCCTGGTCCAATCTGTGTTTGCTGAATGAACAAAGGACTGAAACCACCCGCACCACTGCTCACACAACAGATAACGACCTTCTCCCCAGCAGGCCGTTCTTGCCCTGGCTTCACTACAGTCTCCCCCGTAAACTCTGCGGCACCCACTGCCTCCACCAGCTCTGGGGATTTGGAAAGTGTCTCATGGATGCCTCTGGGCCCGATGCACTACTGTCCACCACGCTGTTTCCTGGACCCAGCTGTGCTGTCCCCTCTCCCCACCACTGCAGAGTGCCCTGCCCCCACCTGCAGAACTCCTACTCATTCTTCAAGACCCAGATCAAATGGCCCCTCTTCTGGGAGCCTCTGCAGGGAGGACGTGCATGTAGCCAGCCTGTTTGCTTCAGAGCCGGGCCCCATCTTTCTGAAGAAAAGCCCAGTGACTGTGCTCCAGGAGGCATAGGGAGCTGTTGCAGGAGGCAGACTCTGGAATCAGACAGACCTGGGACCAAATCCTGGCTTACCCATGTACTGGCTGGTGACCCTGGGCCTGCTAAGACTGCTCTGTTCCTCACCTGTAACAGGGACGTGGGCCTCCTAGCCTTGCTGACCTTGGTGTGTGGGCATGGGGGGTTTGTTGAAAGGGTGCAATGTGCGCTGGGAGAAAAGCATAAACCGCACAGAAGCAGACACAGTGCAAAGCAAGCCTCCTTCCTTCCCCTCCCGGCTCCTCTCCCAGGAGGCTGCCATGGGTACCAGTTTCTGCCCAGTCCTTCAGGAAGCGGTCCCTGCCTACAGAAGCACGTACGTAGGCACCCCTCCGTTTCTTATTTTTAAATCTCTGCGTGGGCTGAACAATGTACAAATGTGGGTCCATCTGCCTTCGGACTGCAGGAAAGTCTGGTCCTCAGCCCCAAAGGCACCTCAGAGTCAGCCCTTCTCCCCCTCGCTTCCAGGAATAGCCTTGCCCCTTGGGCAAGGACCCGGTACTGCCGCCGGCCCTTCTTGGGACTGTCACCCGTGGCCTCTCCCTCACACTCCCTGGACAACCTCCTAAAATGCAAATCTGACCGTGTTGCTCCTGTGTGGAGCCCCACTCCTGAACAGCGCTGTCCAGACCTCCCAGGCTGGTGCCCCAGCCCGTCGCACCCCACCTCACTGCCCCCCACGGAGTGCAGTCTTGGAGTGGCTGCTCCTGGGGTGGGGCTGCCCTACTCCACGGCTGGGTCCTGGCCCAGCTCTGGGGTGTTGGCCTGTCTGACATCAAGCATTCAAAGCCCTAGGCATCCCACTTTTCTAGAAGTATCCGCTGCAGAAGGAAGCCAGGATGTTCCCTTGGCTTCAGCCCCAGAGGTGGAAACTCAGCGCTGACAGCCGTCCCTGAAAGCTGCCCCTTCCCGAGAGTGACCCTAGCCGACAGGA